GGATAGCCCCATATCACGCCAGTGAACCGATCTCGAATCACCAATACATCTTTATCCGGCATGATCCCATCTCTCGCCATCTTCTGGGTGTTCATGAGATCAAAGGTGATAAGGTCACCAAATGCCTTCAATTTCCGTTTGAAAGCTCCCTTGCTAGTCTTGTAGTGCTTCATCTTTGCTCTCACACATGACTTGCAGTATGGGTTCTTGTATCGGTGCGTCATCAGGTGCAATATGGATTTCGCCTCATTCTTCAGCACTCCTGGTTTTGATAGTCTGGCTTCCCCGTCAACCACATCGACTTCCAATAGTCCCTCTTCATCTTCACCAATGTCACTCTCCTCTCGTTCAGAATCCGCATCACCTCCATGTTCGTCGTCTTCGGTTTCTTCAGATTGACCATCGTGATCACGATCGATTCTCGGGTCTTCCCCGTCATATTCCTCTTCAGGAGAATACCTATCATCACCGTGTTCCTCTGGTCCTCCTTCGACGCCTGCAACAGCTGGATTGATATCAGATTCGCCATCCCGATCTCTCTGGTTATCTTTCTTCTTTCTCCTCCGTCTCCGTGGTTTCTTGGGCGGAGGTTCCTCTTGTTGTGTCTCCTGACCTGCTGTGGCCTCGTCTTCACGCCCCACACCTGACAGTATGCGATGAAGTATCGTAGCCAAGCCGTCTGGTCTTGGTAAACATCTCCCGTCATCATCATTCACCTTGATGTAGGGTATGTTGTCATGCACCGATAGCGGAATCTTGTTCGCGTTCTGGTCGATGAGGTATGGCAACTGATTTGCCGGCCATATGAATGAATACCCTTGTTCCATGCACCGTTTCCCGATGGAGAAGACTGATGGTGTGCTCTCCAACACGTGTGCCTCGGACATCATGGGTAGTTCGTCCACATTGATGTCCACCATCTCTGATGTACTAGTTACACCATTCGCTGTCATGAAGCTCACGGACTTGGGTCCTTCCTTGGTGGTAAGGCCCATGGCGTTGACTTTCTCTCTTGAGATCAAGTCGTGTCCACATCCCGTGTCCATGATGAAGCGTATCGGTGGTCCATCATACCTCTCCACAGCCATGAACATCGTGTCTCCCGGTATCGTGTAGTTGACAGAATCCTTCCTTACTACCTCGCTGGTGTTGAAGTCAGACAGGTCGACGTTCACCTCGATTCCTTCATCTTGAGTGATTTGTATCCATGCCTTGGCAATGTGTTCAGCAGAATATAGCTCCATCATCTTACCTTTGGCATGTGCTACTCGTGCAGCTATATTGTTCACTCTGAGGGCTCTTAGCGATGAAATGAGCTCGGTATCCACCTTCTGCACCTCATCCTTCTTCTTCCTGAGGGGACGGGTATTTAGCTCGTTACCAGGATCGCAGGTAAACGTGGTCACATTCGCCCGGTCATCGAATCTGACTTTAAAGCGAAGCGCCAGCTTACCTTGTTGTACGTTGGGAAGTGCGGGTTGCACGTCCTCGCCGTCACTCTCGATGTCTCCGCAAAGCATGAAGGCTGGCGCAGCCGGTTTGGGCTTGGCTTTGCCTTTAGCCTCTTGTTTTGTAGCAGGAGCAGCGTGATGCTGACGTCGACATTTGTCCCCGAACTTGCACGATCCTTTCTGCCAATTCCAACAGACCTGATCCTTCATTGGCTTAGGGCTAGTGCTCCTGCCACCAGGACTCTTTGATCTGTCACCCTTGAGGCTTTCTGGTTTCTTAGCAGAACTTTTGTGCTTCTCTTGGTGACTAAACTTGCATTTGTCTCCTCTAGAGCATCCGTTTTTCCCATGGAAGTGGAAGGCGCATCCTATCTTGGATGTATCTGCTGGAGTCGCTGACCTGCCACGATCCCCCTTTGGGCTCTTCGTGGTTGATCTTCCACGATCCTGCTTCTTGTCCTTCTTGTTGTGGTCCTTCGGATTAGCCTGAGGAAGTACCGGAGCGGCGTCCTTCGGTGGATCGGCCTTGGTATTCTTGGGTTTCGCCTTAGGGTCCTTCTTCTCCGCCGCTGGTGTGGCTTTCACGAGATTCCCAAAGGCTTTTTCCCTTTCTTTCTTGTTTGTGGTCTCGATTGATTTCCGTATCCACTTCGCCATGATCTCTCGTAACTTCTGGTAGGTCTTATCCGGGTCCTTATCCAACATATTATCGTACACAGACAAGTCTAACGCCATGACTTTGGAATCCTTAATCTTATCCCAAAGCAGGTTGCGAAGTGCTTTGTCAGGAAGCATATCATCCGCATCCATACCTGATATGATCTCATCCCACTGTCCAAGGAATCTGGAAAGTTGATTATCCCCAGGGAACTTTAGATCGAATAAGTGCTTGGATGCATACATCACATCGACGTTGTCGGCACTCCGGAAGCTATCGACGATCAACGCTAACATTTCTCGTCCCTTGACCATTCCAGGAGTTGTGCCTCTCGCACGTCTCTGCATCATCTGCCTCACCTTCAGTTGTACGTCATGAGATCTCTCACCTGCTGCGTGGATGATCGTATGTAGGGTGATACCTAGCTTAGCGTCTATGCTAGCGAATCTTGCTTCGCCTGATGTCTCGAGCAGAAATGGGTCATACGGTGATCTGAAGGCATCCGAGAGCCATTGGATCCAGTCTTCTTGTCTTTCGTCGCCCGATGCCGTCACGACTGCCGCTACAACCTGGGATTTCCAAACCTCCAGGTCGTGTATCTTGGGCCATGCAGGGATGTTGATCTTCTCGTGTTCCTTCCGAGATATCTTGGAGCCACCCGAGCTAGAGGATGAGGCGGCACCATGTTCGGTTGCGGCTGCATTCTCAGCATTCAAGCGCTCCTCTTCGTACCTCCTCCGGTACTTATTCCTCTCATCTCTGAGCCGTGCTGCATGCGCTTCGAATTCCATCATGTCCTGCTGGTTCTGCATCATACCTTCGTAGTACTCCATTGCCTCTTTCTCCTCGGACCTTAATGACTTTTCGGTACGTCCAAGTTCCGCTCTAAGCTTGGTCATCATCTCGTTCTCCACATTGGGTTCTGATCCCATGTCTGGTGGTTTCAACTCCAGTGCGACCTTCAGTTGTGCTTCACTTGCACTTGATTCGATCAATTCTTCCTGAAGACGTTTCAGCATCCTCTCTTTACGTAGAATGTCCTCTTCCAACATGTTCACCTTGACCTCGGCTTTCTTGAGTTCGGCGTTGGATGGTTGAGACGGTCGACCGGATCCTTGAATCCTCGCCTGTGTCAACTCCTCGTTCGCCCTCCTCAATTGCTCCCTGATGGCCATGATGAAATTGTCCTGATTATTAGATCGGTTGTTGAGCTCCTCATTCTCTTCTGATAACCATTTGATCTTGCTTGTATACATTGCTTCCCTCATCTTCATCTCTTCAGCATATTCGTGTTTGTTCCTGGCACTCTGCCTTTGTAGTCCAACTAACTCCTGTCTATACAGATCCCTAATGTTCTCAGCATCTGCGACTGCAGTCATGAGCTCGGTTACGGCTCGATCTCTTTCCGCCGACATAGCCTGGATCTCTTCCGTGCCGATGTTCACAACTTGACTAACCATCTCTGCGCTGTTGCGATCAGCGTACTCCCCTAACTGGGTGAGACGATCCCGCATTGCCACACGATCAGTGTCAATCTGGTATTGCAAATCGTGTGCTGCTGAGAGCAAACAGTCTCTGGATTCTGTAAGTTGGGAGATTCTTCGTTGATTTCCATATCCTTCGACGTAACATTCCTCGAGGTGTGCCATCACTACTTCGTGGACTTCGGTCTCGTGTTGTATAATCTGGTTCTGTCTCTGCTCACATTCGACCATCCATGCGTTTTGGTGGTTCAACATATGCACTTCGGCAAGTAGTTGTGCACACTTCGCATTGAGGTCTCCATCGGCCCGTGCTAGTTGTAGGTTGTCATTGCTTGCCCTTGCTCCATCTCCAGCTTCGCTGTCCGACGGTACTGGTACAGTTGACCCATCCTCCAATGCTAGCACTCTCACAGCTCCGGTGTCAGTTCTCCTCCTTGTCTCCCTAGGGCTACGGCCTGATCTCGGTGTCCCCCCCGGTGGTGTCGAGTGCGCTGACGGGGAACGACTTCGTGCTCTACCTGTCGCAACTTCTCTCACCACTGTCAGAGTCTCCGCTTCGATCGTACCTGGACTAGAGTTGTGGGATGCACTCATCCGATCTGCGGCCGCAGCAGCTGCTCCAAAGGATGCAGTGCTGGCGTCGGATTGGTCCATCTTCAGTGACTGAGGGTAACTGATCTATCCGATGCTTGTGCGTTTAGATGGTGTTGTGTAAGGCCGTAGCTCGTACCCAGCTCAAAGGAGTCTGGATACGGCTGATAACCTGCGAACGGATGGAAAGGTGTGCCCTGGCCCCGTTCTAGCCCTTAGTTCAACATGAAGCTCGCGCGCTAAAGCTCCCTTTTACCTGGTTGGGCACTTGAGCCAAAAGTATATGGCATGTACCTGTATAGCAACTATACTGGGACCTCATCCCTATTGACATATATATATTTATATTTGTATATCGCATGTTCTATACATTTATACATACCAGTATATCAATGCATATTAAATATTAAAACATAAATGTATTCCATTTATCAACCCGCATGAAGAGTAGGTATTCCATAGTATTCCATTCCCGGACGATCTGTGATGGGAAATCCATGGGTGATCTGCAGATCCATCCCTGGTTGATCAGTCCACTGTGCTTACTCCACCGTCTTCGAGACCATCGGGAACCCCCTTGGCCAGGTCTGGCGCTGCTTATACACCCGGCCACACTGGTCAACCGAGACCAGAAAACAGTTGTTGAAACAGTGATTTTATCCACGCTTTGTGACTTTTGTGTTTGTTTAATTAAACGAAGGGACGATCTTCGGAATGTACACCCCCCAAAGAAAACATATCAATTAATAATCAATGGAACAGCAAACATCATCTGTCGCCTATCTGAGGTGTTCTCGGCCTAAATTGCCAGGGTGCAACAACGTTCAGCGAAGGAGAGCTTGAAGTTCAAGTCCCTGATGTGCGAATTATTACCCTCAGAGTTGCACAGATCCAGCGATGAAAAGCGTCCCCAAAAAATCCAGCGTTGCATGACTGTGGTCAACAATGATCTGGGTAGGAAGTGTTCCCAAACACTCAAGGTATAGAAGAGTTGGTTTACTTACATTGGCCCCAGGTCAACCACCCCAGCACAGGTATCTATTCAATCTATTCCAAACATGGACCAGTGTGGACAGCAGTACGCCAGAGCACACCCAGTTCCTACGCCGCTGTCATGACAGTCGGGAACCCGAACACCCAAACCAGCAAGGTGCCAGGGTTGGCTCCCAATAACTCTTTAGCCAAAAGTAACAAAGTGAACGACCAGTAGTCTGACTGCTTGAACCTTGGCTTGAAGATGCAATGAGGTCGCCAAAAAGAATACACGAAAATAGCAACCCACACTACACTCCATGTATGTTTACCTACATTGGGGTGGTTTCAGGCCTCAATGTATCTAGCTAGGAACATATTCCATACCAGTACATGGAGTGTAGTCCGTCGACTATACATGACGTCTACTGTCGGCTTCTTTCGTTGTCTCGGTCGAAATCGACCCCAAGTGACGCCCCGCTCGGTCGCAACGTCCCAGTCGTTCCGCGGTCCCAGTCTGCTTCGTCCAGGTCGCTGGATCGGCCTCCACGCACGAAACCTCCGACAGCAAGGGTGAATCGAAGACCTCGATGAGGGTCTCCATCGGCGCGTACTCGGGACTGGTGCGGGCCAGCAGCAGCAAATCCTATCGGGAAACACCATTCGGCGGGCAACAACAAATACATCACACGAGACGGGTTCTGGGTGGTTCTTGATTGTTGGGGCTTGTTTAGGGTGCATCGTGCCCGTCTCCTGCCAACTTTCGGGGTTGATCACTTTCTTAAAATATGTATCCTCTTATCCATGCATGGGAGGAGGCATTTGGAATATTTTGGAATCGACCCCAGGTGGACCACTCCAGCTGATTCGGTCAATATGCCAGTCTCACTGGGATGTGTTCAACGACTAGGATGGCCGCCGACCGTCTGTCTTCACGGCCTTCCGGCCCGGGGGCCCCAACAGAAAGGCGGTGGAAAACCGGCTGAGGCACACCCCCTACCCTCCACCATACGAATTAATGCATTCCGCGCTTTTGGGCAAAAAAGGAGTTCTCATCCAAATCCACAGAAACACTGCTTGCAACGAAGGGTTTGGGCGGCAGGGGCCAACATTTCAAGGCGCCGTGACTGGGAAGCCCCTGGAACTCGGAGGGGGCACGAGAGCTCGTGTCCAACTCCGAAACCGTTCTCATGAGCTTAGGAACTGGCACGATGAGCTTCGCCATGCCTTGGAAGCGCCCCGGGGGCGGGGTTGACTCGCTTGACTCGGGGACGCGACGTGACCGTGGAGAAGTGAAAGAACGACCAGTGAGAGAACGCATCAGAAGTGATCACAAGCAGCATGAGAAGCAACCGCTCACTAGAATAAAGTGGACACCTGCACATCAATTGGGTTGTATATTCACTGAGCGAAGTAACATGATGGGCGATATAACTCGCATTGATATCATTCTGGTGCAAGTACGTTTCAAACAGTTTACATCAGGCGGCCTTCCCCCTCCAGGAAAGAAGTGTTCCCATCACTATCCACTATATCTATCTACTGCTGAAAACAAGTATTTCGCCATATGTAACAATATGTCACGATTATAGTCCTCTACTGACTCTACATATATACAATATATATATATTCTTTGTCTTTTGCTGAATTGCTAATCCATGTTGGGTAAATGGCTCTACCAGGTGTCACAAAGGTGTCCATTATCCATTCCAGTGCTAACACCAAGCACCTGCAATCTGAATAATCCTCTTCCCAACCGATAGCTAAATATGAATGTTCTGGTGAGTGTACTTTTCCCAGTGAATACCAGCGACCAATCACCCTGTGTTGATTCCAACAGCTACTGTATGTACCATGACCATCCAAGTAGTGGTGTGCAGTAGTCTAAGTCTATCCGGCGTCCTACCTTACTGTGGGGGTCTCTATGGCGTCTGCCTTCCATCAGTTGAACAAGGGAATGGTGCATTCGCATCTCTGCAACCTGTCCGCATCTTCGCAAGCTATATCCATCCAGGAGACGCTTGGCCTTACTTGTGAGGGTGGCTTGGAAATGCTTGGCCTGAGCACTGCTGCTGGTGATCCGATGCATCTGAGCCAGGACCAACATGTACATCTCCTTAGCAAGCCCGTGCTGTTTCCATACCAACTCCATGGCACCAGGATGCACCACTGGACCGTCCGACATGGTTTTTCACACCAACTCTTGGACCCAACCGGGCTAACCAACTCACTTAAGCAGCAACTGACCAACTAACTAACTTAAGCAACTGACCAACTCACTGGCTGGCTGGACATAGAACGGTTCCCATTCCCAGTGGTTCGTACATACCGTTCACTGAGAGCTCCATGCACCCACCATGGCGGTTCTGGCGCCCCCGCCGAGCAGAAACAGGACACCGCTGGGATACTGCACGTATTGTCATCTCTCTCTCTCTCTGCTATACACACACCAAAGAACAGGAAAAACATCCAGGGGGATCAGTCTGATGCTTCCCGTCTGAGAATAACGACTCATCCGCACCAACCTCCTGTGAAAACGAAGGCCTTGCCACATTGCCCAGTCTCCAAATGGCTCTTCATCAGCTGTGCAAAGTCGGTGCGCTCCTCACGACTGGGGAGGGTCATCCGATCGGAAAAAGGCTGATGGGGGTGGCAAACAGCCAAGAAATCCATCCATCGCACAAATGGAGAATCAACGTGCTGACGGTTGGATGGATGGACAGAGGTTTGTCTTCCATTGCTGCGTAGATGTCGGTTCTTGTGGCACAAATGCAAGCAAACTTCCAGCAGTCACAAAGGGGTGCTTAATGGAGGTTAGGGGTGCCCATTATCCACTCACTTAGTGGCTGAACACAACCCCTTTGTGACTGCTGGTTGTGTTGTTTAGTTTATCCTTTCAGTCTGCCAGTCCAAAGGAGCGGTGTCTCTCGTTGGTTCTCCGGAACTGGGTCAAGCCTTACATCCGAAAACCAAGTATACACATGGTGCTTGCATGGCCGATCTCACATCATTCAAGAGAATTCACTTGTTGCATGACATCATTGCTGGAATGACACCTGGTCTCCACCCGGAAGAAATAGTAGCGACAACAAACAACCACGACTACCACAACCACAACCAAAACCACATCCACAACTACAACCATGACAATAACAGCACCCTTCTTCCACTTGGCCCCCCAAGTAGAACGTGTCATCGTCTTGATCACGTCCTCCATATCCTCCATGAACTCCGGGGGCCGTAAAAGCTAGGAGCTCGTGGCCAAGTCGTGCTCCAAAATCGCCCAGCGATTGAAACCTGAGGACGGGCAGCATCCGACGACCCATGGCTCCAAAATGTCTGAAAACACAAGTGTTGACATGTAAAAACAAACACAACAAATATCATATGCATTCAGCAACAACAACACATCCGTGCAATGGGAGAGTCACAAATTCTTACATGATTCCACATGGATGGGATGTCCGAAAAGCTAAACCATCCATGTATTATGGGATACTTACATGGATGGGTCAGACACCAGCAGGGGTATGGAGGGGTCAATTGGTAAACTATGACCTATTGATTGTCTTCCCGCCGGTCTCCCCACACTTCATCAACTAGCCAACGCTGTAGGTCAGGCCATCGATGCACTTTCTTTTTAAAGTCCCAAGGTGAACGGGGTGACGGAATGTGATGGATCTAGGCAGATGATCTAGGATTTGCTGACTCGGAAGCGCAAACAAAGAAGAACATATATATATAGTATATAACATCAATTATTCATCACCCCGACGTAAGCAAAATCAAATGAAGTCTTGGTTGGATGGGGTCGGAATCCCGTTGCATTGGTGCAGGGTCTGGCACAGTGGCACAGAACTCATCACCAATGCGAAAAATGGGTGCATATGACTGCATATGTTAATGGGGAGGTCCGCTGGTCCCAATGGATTGTGGTTTGTTTTGCTTACCTCCTCCGGGGTCGAAATGGGAGATCTCCCTATTTCAATAAACACCCTTGTCCTGATTCAACCAGTCTTGCAAGACCATCCAGCATGAGCACCCTCTAAAGGTGTGCACTCCCTGGCCTTGCTGTCTTGTAAGACAATCCAAGTAGGGGTTGGCCATGAATGTCGCACTTTGACTAGTAGTTGGATGCAGCTGACAGTCGTCTGTCTCTTCCCTTCACCAACTACTTTCCGCACAAAACTGAACTTGAACTTGATCTGTTTCCTTTCCAGTTGTCGTCGTCCCAGACCCAAGCGCATTCAAAACAGCCAACATCGCAACATCCCATCCCATCCCATACCGTAAGGGTGGTGGTGTCCAGATTCACCCAAAATCTGCTTCTCCCCATCCCTAAAAAGGCCCCGTCTGCCACGACATACGAACGGACCACTCCGACCGCCTCGACGTCCGCCACGTCCGCCACAAACAAACGCCACGTCGCTGGTCACTTGAGCCATGGCCGTGGCGAACTGCGACGAGGTCTCCGAAGACTTCCTCGGACAAACAGCTTCGCCCTGGTGGCGCGGGTGTCGCGTGCGCGGGTGGCGCGGCAGTGTTTGCGAACAGCAAAGGCTGGAGGAATCCATGGTTCTTTTCACCATGAGGAGGAATTGGGAGGCTCCAACACCCATTTTGCCATGGTGAATTGGCTTGCAAATACCAACACTTCAGACACCAGCAGGGCTTCCAGAAGCACCCTTCAGGCAAAACTTTCAAGTCTCTTCATCTATCTTCATCTCCATCTCTCAAATGCTGAAACCCAGAGCCAAAGCTTGAAACCGCGTCCCTTCCATGGTGGGAAGTAGTACAGTATGTCTTCGGGCGAAAGTAGATGCAAAAACCTTCTGGGATTCTGGGACCATTAGGTTGGTTCCTTCTCAAAGAGGTGAATGGATTCATTGAAATCCAGTGAACTCCCAGTGTTCCGATGCCGTGCTACGAGTACAATCAGTGCCAAGTTTCGATACCATATCATTCAGCAAGCCGTCCAAGGTTAGCATCTCCTCAGAGCGAACTCGTGAAATGCCCCGGGCACGTGAGCAAAAACGTGGATTGCGGGTGCGGCCACGGCATGGTGAAGCCAAGCGAAGCACATGGCCACGGCCGGAGATCCTTTCGAAAGCACCGGGGATGGATGTGTTGTGCCGCCGAATCAGGCACGCACCTCTGGCATGCACCTCTGGCGGTACCAGGTGGCACCAGAATTCATTGAAAGCCTATGATTGCAGTTGCAAGGACTTCAATCTTCCATGTCATTTTGTGCCTTCTGTCCAGGTGTCCTTTCAGTGGCGAGGTCGCTCTCTACCTGAGCAAGTTGGATGCAGTTCACTACCCGGAATTTATGGATCTACAGTCCAAGTCACAACTCAGTCATGCCGGTTCTCTCCCTCAACGCCCAAAACCGAGCTGCAGGCTCCCTCTAAAGAGCTCTCCCTACCAAACAAGTTCGCTTTCGCCCACACTCCTCCATGTATCTATTTACATTCTACATTGGGGTGGTTTCAATTGCTTATATGGAGGGGTGTGTATAATTTATATGTATGTACCAGTCCATAATAGGGTGCCTTGGCTGGAGATTTGGACTGCCTCTTCCGTTTCCCAATCCCATCCGCCACGCAAAACACGCCGAGGGGCGGTGACCTGCTCCTCCGCGGCGCGCGCCTGCGCGGTACCCAAGCGCAAGAGCTCCCGCGACATGGTGCGGCGGATCTTGGCCTCGAGACGAAAAGGACCAAAATCGGCTCGGCGGAGGATGATTTTTGGCAAGCTGACCGCGGGGAGATTTTGTTGAAGATCAATCATCAATCCCAGATTGAGACTCCAACCCAGGCTTTGTATGCTTTTGTATGAGATCAAGCCCACTTAGACAGCGCAATCAGGGGACAAAGGTGTCAACAGTCGCAACGGTTGCCAATGTATTTATACCGAAGTAGTGAGCCAAATGGGTTTTCTGAGGCGTATGCCTTGTAGGAAACTCGTTGACTGGAGATTTGCCTCTAAGATACAACCCCTGACTGCTGCTAAGTACGGACTGAAGCTAATTAATAGCCAAAAATAGATTCCTGCAATATATATATATATATAATCCTTCAATCCTGCAACAAAATCCTGCACTTGATCGTGATGTTTCCTCACCTGCCATCGGAAAAAGAACTCACTGCGGCGACTCACTCATCGCCTCCTGATGTTGGTTGGTTCGAGCAACCTGCCCATGCAAAAAAGTGCCACGCTACTAGGAACAAGTGCCTTACTAGTAGTAACAAGAAGCTATTAGTAAGAAGTGCCTTACTAGTAGTAACAAGAAGCTATTAGAAACAAGTGCCTTACTAGTAGTAACAAGAAGCTATTAGTAAGAAGTGCCTTACTAGTAGTAACAAGAAGCAAAACATCAAGGAGACCAAATTTTCCATCGGATGGTTTCAGGATTGCCCCTCTACCGGAAGATTGCTGACGGGTTGGTTTGGATTGAGAAGGGACTCATTGTGAGGAATAAAGGCATTCTACAATCTACAAGTACTTTGTCAGCACATTCCTTTTCTTTGACTCTCATGTTGATCAACTCTTGTCAACAACTTTGACTCTAGTAGCCATAGCATATTCCTTTCTTCCCTCCTTGCACGCCCTGCAACAGCTGCCGAGCTGCATCCAGCTTCTTCTCCAGAGAGTCTAGTTCTTCTCCTGCATCCTGACGTCGGAATGCATCCCGATGGACATATTGGGTTGCATCGGCGTGGATCTTAGGCTTTTCAACTCTTCTCACTTCCAAATCTCCCTCTGGGTTCTCCTTCCTTTTTTTTCTGAGACAGTGTTTGGGGGAGTTGAGCGCTTGCAGGGCCTGTCCCTACCTTTTGGGCAAGAATACTTCGAGCCACAGTACAGCCACATGCACATATATCATCATAGATCCGCACATCACTACGCTACTGGTGCTACTGGTGCTGGGTCCATCAATCAGGCAGTCGCTGATCAGGGAAAGCACGAAGACATGGCGCGCTTCACATTGGAATTTGCAACGGTGTTGGCTCATGCCATCTCATAACCATGGCAATCAAAAAGCAACCAACAACATGACTTTGGAGATGTTTGGAGAAATCACTATAGACAAAAAATAACCCAAACCCCATACATTATTGTCTCTCTTGACTCTTGTCTCTAATTATAGCTGACTCCAAACACCCTTCCGGCCGGTCTTGTCCCACTTCACGCCTGGGCCAGGCGTTGAAGCCTCAGGTGGACGCCTTGCTCGATGATCCGCCCGAGGGGCGGTGGCAAGGGCAGGACCACCACAGCCACTTTCACTGCATAGAGCTGGAGCTGGGTGGCCATCTTCCGATAATCCTGCACCTGGCGGCAGCTGCGCAGTGCGGATGGGCCGCGCGGCTGCGGGGGGGTGCGCGGCAAGGCGGCGCACTGGCGGCTCGGGCGCGAAGAGCTGAATCCTGGCTCATAGATGTGTTGACTTCCCCTGCTGGTGATGTCTGGTTCATGTGATGTTTTTTTCGTTTGGGGGGGAAGTGGATATCCAGTGGATATCCAGTATGTCAATGAGGACAATTCTGTTAACACCCATGCTTCGAAGAAAGGAGCACTACAACCAATTGGGTGCTGTTGATGAAAAGATTCCGGCAAACAAACAAAGAAGGGAAGCGCACTTTGCGTTCCAGGTGATAAAGAACAGAGTTTCTTCCATTATCACCTATACTTTCCAACCACCTTTTGAAAGTTCGGACGGTGCTCGTGCTCTTGGACCAATTGGATCCTATGAACGCGCCAGTCTCCTTCGTGCTTGTCTTCTCAGTCCGCGCTCACAGTCTTCTGACAGTCTAATTCCTGTGCCTTGACCATCTCCTTCAGCTCTCCGATCACCGTCTTTCCAGCATTTCGGCACTGCTTCAGCTCATACCCCGCCAGTTTCTGCCGAGCGCGGAGCACCGCACGGTCGGCCGCTGGACAGCTCTGTCTGGAGAGATAAAGAGGGTTGAAGAAGGATGAAAACAGGTCGCACGTCCTTTCGCATTCGCTCCAGTGTTTGTTGAACATGCCTCATTGTTGAATCCGCATCGATCAACGGATCAAGAGGATTGAGATCTTTTAAATTCTCTTTAAGCAAACTCTCCTTGCTTGGCATTTAAAAGGTGGAAAAATATGATACCGATTCTGAAGCTTCTGCGTTCTGTTGACACCACAATTGACTGTACAGTCACTTGTGTCCAAAGAATTCTTTGCGAGGGCCATCTTTGTGCCATATGCATTGCGAAATAACCTGCAGGATCATATCAATTGAAACCTCGTATGTTCGGCCACCTGCCCGAAACGAGGGAACTTCCCGTACACCGGATCGCCTTGGCGGCCAAGGACAAGCCACCGCACACCCAAGAGGCAACCAGATCATCACTCATCAACCTGGATTGAACCAGGGAATCAAAAACACATGCAAAAAACCGAACCTGAACCTGTTTAGAAGAATCAACCCCGGCCTGACAGGAATCAACTGTGTGGCCTCTTGCTGGAATGCGTGTGCTAGGAATGCAACAAAATAAATCCTTGGGCTGAGTTTTGGGTAGGAATTTGGTGACACCACACATGGTGGAAAAAACAATGATTACGTTTGCATAACTGTTTTGCTGGCATAAGTGGCATATTCATCAGAACTGATTCGAAGTCAGCATTTTGCAAGTCCAAGAACAATGTTTGGTGAACCCACCGCATCACATCGTCCAAGACTACAATGATGACATATGATGGCAGTTGGGTTCTCTACCTCGATGTCTCACAAAAAATACCCAAATAGATTTAAATCTAAATTTTGCCAGAACATGCCAAAACTTGGTCTCCACAGTCCCAGCAACCGACAAACAAATCCAAGTCCCTTTTCCGGGCACCCTGTCCAAATCAAGCTGTGCGTCCACATTGCCGGATCTCATGTTCCAGGCTAACGGCTAGTTTTGGGAACCAAACGTTTTTGAAACAACCGTCAGATCCTCCATGGACCGCGTCATGTTGTTGTTCCAGGACACGAGCCAAGCCTTTCGACAATATCTGTGTGCTTGGTGAGATGGCACAGGTTCTGCCGTGGAGGGACGGAAAAAGCGAATTCTCGAGTTCAGAACTGACAATTTGGGCCACACAATTTGTAGGCGAAAAACAAAACACATCAATGCACATCAGTTGGTTTTCCTGGAGCGGAATGAAATCGAGGCACGTCCAATTGCCCGGACGGGTCTGTGCTCTTAGTTAATGTACTGGGGTCCTACTTTGGTGACTTAAACGGCTTTGCTGCGCCCAATGACTAAGTTGGACCAACGTGGTTCTCTTTGCATTGCACCCAGCCGACTCAGCCGACACCGAATAGTTCATGGAAACATAAAGATCGCGGTGTTCAAAAACACATGCAGCTTTCGTAGCAACACCTGCAAACAACACATGATTCCAACATAAGCAGACATGCTGCTCACAAATGCAACGGGTTGCGCAACATCCGCATATCAGCAAGGGCAATGGGTGTTTTCATGCATGTTCGAACCACCGGTATCGGTCATGCATCATCACCTGCAAGCTTTCCTGAACTCACAAGTGTGCCATCTGGATGTAGGCAGCCGAATAGCCTGTAGCTGAGAAAGAACCGAACCCCAGGTTGCAGAGTGCTTTACGTGGTCCAGCAGCAGCTTCATGGGCTTCATTGAAATACCGTCACGGGATGTCGCAGGACGTGGTTTTGCGTCCTGTCGTCGTGACGCTGCTTCCTCGAACGGTGGGGTAGTTTGAATGACAATCTAAGATGGAATTGGCCTGGCGGCCACTTACCGCGGCTCAAATGAATAAACCCTGAACCCGATTTCTACAAAAAATAAGGCTTCGATTTCGTGCGTCAACCGCCTCCTCACAGGTATTGGTATAGAGATCCTCAATTGCGCTGAAGAATCCAGCTGGGAGCTATAGCTATCCGGTGGTCTGTTGAGGTGTGTTAAGCCAAGCTAATATGCTGCGCGAAGCACATCAACTTGGGCGACATGGCGCAACGAAAAAAATATGTTGCGCAAACCTGGCGCGCAGACCGGCGCTGTCCTGGCAGCTGTGTGACAACCTCGTGTCTGCAGCTTTTCCACGCAAAGCAAACCATAAACTAGATTAACCGACGCCTTTCTCGTATACTTGCATATAATATGTGTGTATGGTTGGTCTGCAGTTTGCTTGCAGCTGCCAGTGTCGTTGACTGAAGGTCCTTTCGCCCGTGCCGAATTCGGTGGGACCTGGAAACGTTTTGCGAAGCCAGTGGCATATTACGGGTCTCTGTGAATTTTAACACACTTCATCCCATTTCCCACGACATGAAGAATCAAAGGACTGACAGAGCTCCATGTATCCGGACAAATAACCTCAGCTGTAGAAGGCAATCAAATTCACAGTATTTCATAGTGGCGTGAGGTTTCGTTTCATTCCTAAAGAACGCTTGAATTGTCTGGAGAACATTCTTGACCCCGAAACCGTTTTTACACCCGGATCCACTTGAACCCAGGAACCTGATCTTAACTCCTGAAACGTTGTTTTTTGACCCAGAGTGGAAACTTGCGGCTAAACAGCGTGGCTCACAAAATGTCCAAATTTTACCCTTGGGTGGTGGTTGACAAATAGGCTATCCCACTTTGGAATGGCTCTATTATCTTCATCCTAGACTTTACCGTCGTGCGGCTCACAAAAGGTATGCTACGTCGGAATACCATCGCGTGGCGCACAAGAGCTATGTTATACGTTGGAACGGCTCACCCGGTTTCATATACTCTATATTGTCAACCCAGGGTCAAAAACACGATGTGGCAGGGTGAGTAAAGAAGGGCGGGTGGCCTGCCCTAAACATGGCCTGCCCTTCTTGTTCAATACCCTAAAACACACAGGAAGGACAACAAAAAACTGAATCCAGAACATGATTAGGTCATTCTCAACGCCATGCCTGACTCGGTCCGACGCCAAACGCCCAACCTCCCACCTCGCGCGTTTTTCCGCCAAAAAACACAAAAAATATCCGTCCTTGAGCCTCCTCTTCAGCTCCAACACAGAGCTATTCTTCACATTCACAGAGCTCATCTCCGTGCAGCTCTTCAACGCCATCACCGCCAAGTACTGCGAGAGCTGCCTGATGCGGGAGATGGGCGAACAGCGCGGATCGGCTCGGCTTAAGGACAAGCGAAATGAGACGGCTGCGGTGCTGGGAGTTTCACTATAGAGGTGACCCATATGGACATATACGGACCATAATATGTGTGTGTGTGACTGAACATACTGTAAGATACGGGCCTGACCTATCTGCTGCCGTCAGTTCATTAACCTCTGTGCGATGTGAGATCGTAAAAAAGAAATAACAATAACCGACCTTCTGAACGCCGTTTGGCTGTGCACCGTCAGACCATATTCCATGTCCATGCTCGTGATGTGCAGCGGAATGTCAGGCAAGATATATATATATATGTACACTATACAATATATATATATATATATATACAAGTTATATAGTTTTTGATGTTTATTCATAATGTATATTCAAATGATGTGCCAAACATCGCCAAACACCAATAGGCTATTGAGAAAGATGTCACAACAGCACTAATTCACCAGGATAACCTATTTCGAACCAATGCGACCGGATGGACCTGGTTGAGACCTGGACCGGGTTGAGACCTGCGACCGTGAATTCACGTCCTCCGGGGAGTCTGGACCCACCACTGGGCGAGTTGATCCGGTTGGAAAAAAAAACGGGCTATAATAACCTCCGGATATGATTTGAACCGTTGAGCAGTTGATGACAAAGGTTTTAAACTGGGTCATAAACTGAAAAAGGGATGTGGAGCAGTTGATAACCTGGGTCATAAACCCTGGGTTCACAACCCTGGGTCAACGGCTTGGAGCAGTTGATCCGGACATCATTTGGATCGTGGGCTTCAGCTGGCAGGACCGTCAAATCAACATTAGTGAGTCGATAGGCCAATGCATTTATGCAACCTGGGCAAGCACCCAGAGTCAAGGGGCCCAGTGACAGTGTGTTATCAGGCTATCATTTCAGCTGGTCAAATGACAAACGTGTGCACACCAAACGTGTCGAAACTCCGGCTTTCGCATGCTTTTGCAGTCAAGCAGCACTTCTGTATTATTCTCGGTTGCTTCGGACTCGTTGCCCTCATCAGGGTTCCACAGCAACTGAATGCTCCTTGACTTTGGAAGGTGCTGAAGGCTGAAGTGACGTCAGAAACGAGAAACATATATATATATAAATAGACCAACTGTAACTGAGGCATAAATGAACAATGCCTCCCATGCCTGCTGTTTGTCCCGTTTACTGTACCTTCTCTTCTTTTCTCGAATATCATGAAACAAGCAATGATTTATAATTTGTGTTTCTCCCAACCCCTAAATTCCTAAATAAACGTGGAACCAACCACCAGCGACTGGATGTTTAAACATCTTAAAGCATGTGTTGCTACGGTGTCCGAAAGGCTACAAGTAGCAGCATCCACAACATCAGTTGAACTAGCGAAACAAATGCCCGACTGGTGTGAGCGAACCTGTTGATTGAACATGCAAATATAACACCGCAAAAGCTGGTTCTTGTGATTTGTCAGCCTGACATCTGAATAAAGCAAAACAGAAGAACAACAAGATTAACAACGAACAATTCACAAACTGTTGCAGTGTTGCATTGGAGCTGTTGGATGCTGTTAGTACCTGGTTCTTTGCGTTTCCACAAGGTTTCAAGGTTTGCCCAGCCAACACGTTCCAAGTGTCTGCAAGGTTTGCCGAGCAGAGCGGCTCCAGTCTGCGCTGACCGCTGCGCTGTTGGCTCCACTCTGCGCCGCATGTCGAGCGGCAAAGGCGAGGAGGAGGTGATGTAGAAAAAGCAAGTGGAAGGCTCCCTGGCGCAAAGAGCTGTTTAGGAACCGGGACACATATGTCCCCCGGGCCCCAGATGGGGATTGACCCAGTTCGGGAAATTCACCAATGAAATCACCTCAAGCAAAACCAGGCTGGTGCAACCCACGGAGGCGCGACCCGCCGAACGGGTCATCCCCGGCCCCCACTGGGTCTGGTGGCTCCCAACACGGCTCCCACTGGGTCATGAGTGCTCGCAGGAGTGCAAGATGATCAGTAAAGACTCAGGTGTTTCAGTTGTCAGTAAAGACTCACGGTCAAATGACCGAATGGGTCATGAGTTCCCGAAAAACGCCCATGCCATCCCACGCCCATCCATCACACGAACAGCCAATCCATGGAACGATGAATTTCAATTGCAACGATGGCGACTTCAACAAAGACTGTCCCACCACCCATGGCTGCCACCCAGGAAATTTGACAAAGGGAGAGAACGGAATTAAACAGTAAGTAAACACGACAAGGAAAAAGATCGGTCCAGGAGTGCTCAACTCAACGAAAATGGATACACCAATTCGACACCAATCCAAGGCGCTCACGACATCCCCGAGGACACATCACACCATGAAATTCTCAGGCCACGTGGGCGCTTGAGGCCCAAATCCAACGAAGGGCATAGTTTGATCATGTCTGGAATGATCTGTTAGATTTGGTGAAGCTCATAAGACTCTCGTGGAGGCCCGCCCCCATATTTGTATTCAACCGAATGCTGAACAACGACGGGTCAATCATCGATCTTCGAGAGGCTGGCCTCTGAGCCTCCATCAAGAGCGTTCTGCTAACAAAAAATGGAACATGGGATACCAAGAACCCGGGAGTTACAATTCCCGTGGTCAGAACCTCGGAGTTGGCCTTTGGACGGCCCGGAACCCTCGTGCGAAGCTCGGCATGCGGCATGAACGCTGTCGAGACGAGCATGCACGGTGTGTTGAACACCGTCGAAGGAAGAATCCCCCAACGAGAAACATCCCAAAAGACTTATGCCACAGTGGAATCCCAGTGGAATATTGAATAATTTTAAATCAGGTGTTTTTCGGCCCGGCCCTTCCCAAAGGCCCTGGAACAGGTGTTCCTGTTCCCAAGATGTGGGCGACTATAGCAGCACGCTTTCGATCGCAGCACACCGTTTTCTGCCGCGACACGCGGCGTTGTCTTGGCTGTGAAACAGTGGCCACGGCTCGGAGGGTGCTGGTTTTGAAGCAATGATTTCGCTGACCCAGATGTCTCCGCTTCGAAGCCTGTTCTTGTGACTCAAACACTCAAACCACGATCCAATGCAGTCCCTTCAACCAATAAGCCGCCTGATCCATGAAGCATCAATTGAACCAATTGTTTGAACGTGGTCCAACTATGTCCAACTTTCTAGTCAATCACCGATTAGAGTCCAACCTTTCGTTCATTCTAGGCATTCTGAGGACGGCATGGCGCGTGGCACCCGCGAGGAGCTCGGCCACATGGGCGCAGGTCGGTTATGCCATGAGCTTTCGCCCAGGTAGGAAGGCCCGGTAGCCGGGCATCTGCGGGCGGATCACGTCCACAGGGTGTGGATCCCAATCTTCGGAGGTGCGAGCCAGACCCAGCGGCATCTGACGCGGCCTGGGAGGTTGGGTGAAAATCCGGTCATGTAGACTCTTGATTACATTGAACCCAAAAGAAATCTGAAGAGTTCTTACAATCCAAATTGGGGGGTATACAAAATCAAGAGTCTACAGTCTACATTAAGTCCATCTGCACTCGAAGAGCCAAGCTCTTGTGAAGGCGAAGAATGAGCAGGCGGGCGTGAGGCTTGTTTTTTGTGAAACTGTCAAAGGTCTGGCCTATTCTGCAAATTACAGTAAGAGAGCTGTTGGAGTGGCTAGGATGAATTAAGAAACCGTTGTACTCTCGGTGGTTTCACCCTCAAATGAAAGATTGTTTCATGTCGGTTTGTAGAACCATACTAAACACATCCCATGCATACCACATGCTACAACTTACGTCCAAGTACAGTCAAAGAAATGATCATGCGATTGTCGAAAAGCTTTCTACCTGACAAAAACTCCATGAGGTCAAGAAGCAAAAACATGCAACGACGCAATGGTGTAAAAGACACCAATCACCAAACACCCGACTCCTGGCATCTCCTGGCATTCTGTTTGTCCTGAGACAAGGACAAGCGCAAGTGCTGGCCAGGGGGAAGCGAATGCGCTTCGTCTTCTTGGAGCTTCGGCCGACTGGCAACGCAGCGGCTAGGGGAGGTGTGACTGCAAGAAGACGTGAGGGTGCCTTTCACGAGGGAACCCATGACAGGCACCGAAGGTTCCACCAGTTCCATGTCACTGTGCGAACGAAACCGAAGGATAGGGTGTGCCTGCGAAGGTCCACTCGCTTTTAGGTCTAGAAACCCCACCGTTTTCCAACCTCTTGGACCTTCTGGAATCTGTGAGTACCGCCGTGGAAATGGACGTACCGCCCCAAACTGATCGGAGTGGAAGAGTTTTTCCGCCACCATGGCGTGAGGAGTTTTGGATGCGGTGAAAATATATAAATGTAACCATATATGGATGGTCTGGGATTGGAAGCCTTATGGTTCACTTGACATGTGCCAAAAAATATGACTGCTCCACCAAACTGCACGTGTGAGGAATGAGGAGATGGCGGGAAGACGAGTTCCTCTGAATGGGTCTGTTTAATATATATATATATATGTCACTTGCTCTACTAGTACATGTGTTCAACTGAAAGTGAATAGAACGCACTACATAGGGTTCTCACAAAACTTAGGTTTTCAACAAGCAGGCATTCATCTGGGTGAATGGGCGAGGTGAAGTCTTTGTCCTCTAGTTCTGCTGGGCAGGTACGTTAATGTCGAAACCTCCTGCTGGTCCCATGTGTAAACAATATACAGTATCGCAGTATATCAAAATATTTGGAGTATTTGGGAGTCAATCTTGATGTTGTTTCACCAACATTTCGTGTCCATTGTCATTGTGGCCCTGGCACCCTGGCAGCAGTTTCACATTCTTACTTTATTGCATCCGAGCAAATCGGGGTGATTGTTGTTTTGAGATGGTGAACCTGCAAAAAAAACATCTCGATGCTGAATGCTGTGCCATTCTGTGCCCCTAGTACTCCCTGAGTACCATGAGTCGAGCCACCGACACCGGTTGTGGAACCGGACCTGATGTCGGCGGTTCTCGTCCGGTGCCCGCCTCTGCTTCAAATGTCGGTGCCCGGTGTAGGCGGCGATGCCAGGACCACAGTCCTTCGGCCTGGTGTAGTCGACGGGCGAACGACCATGGATGAGGGAGGAAAGCTGGGGTTGGATGGATGGATGGATGGATGGATGGGCGAAGCGGTTTTTTCACCCAGATCGTCCATGGAGGTACTAGCACCCAACGACGAAAAGGTCTCCCGAATGGTGGCTTTAAAAAAGCGACTGGTGGTGACCTGTCGGAGGGTGCTGGCATTTTTCAAGAAAATAGAACATTGAAAATGTATATGTCAAAAACTGTTTTGCTCTATTGAACTGATATGTGTCAAACCACATTTGTAGATATATTTTGATTTTTTTATTGAACTCTTGAATTCCACTGTACACTAAAATGATCTTCTGTACAAGCATGGCTGGTTGTGACAATGGGCTGACAAATAGAATCAAAATTATGATTACTGTAATAAAGCATCACATAATTCACCGCAACATTCATAACATTCAAGTTGTTGTTAGCTAGGTTTGGTTCACAGTTAAACGGCTCAGCCCATTGATTTTTGGCTATTGCAACAGGGTGGTGATCTTGGCCATTGTTGTTTCCACCAAATTACTTGTGGTAATGGTGGTTGTAGTTAAGAAGGCGTTTGTTTCTTCCTTTCCTTTCTTTGCTTTCTTCTCTGGGCCAAAATCACCACAATGGGGAGAGGTGTTCGAATCAACAGCACAATCAATGATTACGACTTATGAACTGCTTCCTAGATCTAAGGCTTACCCTGGGCACCCTCACTGTCGCCACACGGAAGAGACGGGCCCGACCACGACGAAGCGAACGAAATGGAGGGCCCTAGCGGTGAAGGGGCGTCCATAGCGGTGAAGGGGCCCGTCTGTCTCTTCCCTGTGGCACCCCCAAGATCCACCAAACAATCAACAATTTTGTTTTCGGGTGCCACTGGTAAGGTAGAACATGAAACGGAAATGATGTGAAAAATACAATTGTATGAAATCTCGTTTTAATTTAATTTGAAGCCCCAGATCCAAGAAGGGGCCCATCTGTCTCTTCCCTGTGGCACCCAAGTCAGTGAGGGTGCCCATATTATTGATGAAGAAGTGAATGACGGGTCAACTGCAGGGAGAAATGAATAAGAAATGACCTGTCCATCATCAGTAATTTTATTCTTTCCTTATGAGAGCTCTAATATATTATTCGTAAACCGGAAAGAATGCAGTGTCAATTGATGACCGCCAATAATAAAATACAAATTGTTCCACATCTTCAAATGTTATTGCCCAAAGTGCCACTCGCCTTTCTGATCGTCTAAATATGGATAAAGGTGAATGCAAAGCCGATGGATTTGGACACCAGCAAAGAAGTACAATAATATGTGCCTGTGTGTGAGAAAGTCAAAGAGACAGCAATGTTTGCTCACTTTGCCCAAAAACCTTGGACTCTCTCGCCCTTCTTTAAAGTCACACAGCTCACCGCCGTCTCGGTCATCCAAAGCCGTCGACCCTCGGGGTCCGGTCCACCTTGCTCACTTCCTTCGGAAGACCCACAGCTCAGCTCGGGCACCAGCTCGGGCACTGGTGCTCACCGGGCAGGACACCAAAACAACATGCGAGCCCTCCCGAGTCCACTCACATAGACCCGGACGTCCTGGTCCCATGGAAGATGATTTTCCTCTACCAACCAGGGGTTTTCAGGTTCCATGTTAGTCTTCCAGGGTGTAGACTGTTGTAGACTGTTGATCAAATAGCACCCCCCCCCCAAAAGAAAACAGAATCGCATTGCTTGGTGACCACCAGCGAGATGTTCATCGGTAATACCGGTTGCCTCTCCTCCCATCCACGAGCCTCTCTCCTCCCATCCAATTGTACTTGGGATCCTGGACCGATCATCCGTGCGCTCGGCAATCCGGGGATCCACCGCTTCAAACCGCAGTTCTGTGGTGAAGCAGTTCGCGGATGTGAACCAGCATGTGCTTGCCCTACGAGGTGCTGATCAACATGTTGGATCCTAAAAACCCAGGCCGCCCCGGCTCAGGTTGGTCTTGTGGCGGGTTGCGGGGGTGTTATGGGTAACATGTTTGAACAGCTGTTGTTGCATTTCAGGATATTCAAGGTATAGTATATGTAACGGCATCAAATCCAACTGGATCAATCCAAGACCCGGCAAAGAAAAGACGTTGTCCTCCTCGAGGAAGCCCCCGAGTGTAGATCTCTACACCCGGGGGCTGGTTTCTGGAGTAGATGGATTCTGTAAAAGAAACATCTGAGATTAAATTTAGTCAGTAAAATCACTTCCAGGTCTTTGGGTAGGGTAGGATTGTGAAACTGGCAGGTTCAAGATGAGAATAACATTGACATACAATGTTACACGAGGTCTCAAGACGGAGATAATCAGAATATATGCGGGGCTGTCAAAACCTATATATTATTATATTGTTCTTCTCCAACCAAAAAGAACAGCAAGGTTTGATTGTGGCTCAAGTACTCTATAGTTTTGATGGTTGGAAATCTTCATTGAGTCTTCGTCAGTCTTGCCCATTTCATGCATCTCTGCTTTTGTTCCTGCAGGTCAACGGCAAAACTGGCCAAAACACCATGGGAGGTTTCAGCCCTAGAGGAGCAAATGGTGCAAATGATGCTCTCAGGTCCAATCCGTGCTTCCAATGAGTCATGAACTACCCCACCTGGTAGTCCACTTTTCCACCACTAACTGGAACAGGGTCAAAATGAGTCAAACTGAAACTTAGCAGCACATCCTGGATGAATCCTGTCCAGGAACCGGACCAAAAATATTAAGTGAAATGTCCCAGGAACCGGATTCGAAGGCCTCTCGCGCCCTTGGTGTTCGGGGTGAGTGGAGCGGACGAGTGGAGCGCGACGCTGCCGCCATCGGCGCCGGCCACCCGGGTATTGCACCACTCGGTCGGAGTTGGAAATGGGCTGCCGGTGGAGGAGGGGTTGTGGATCGCGGTTCCAACCCTCCTTTTGGTCACTTCTCTTCATGGGTCCATCCATTTCACTGGATGGGTCGGAAGAACCATCCAAATGGGCCTAAGAAGCATCCCAACATATCCCAACATGGAACTAACTGCATCTTCCCAAGTCCTGCTGCCAGGTTCGCCAGATCTCACAATCTGCATGCGAGCGCAAAGACCTGGAGCAACATGTCACGAGTGTCGAGAAACGTTGCGAAACGCAACGCTTCATGTACAATTGTGCATCATTGTTCATCGTTGTCAGTTTATGATCCTCTCGATTCAACTTGAAGGCAGCTCATTCAAAGGTTTTCACTTGGACCAAATCCCATTTCATCCACCTTTTTCGGAAAGCCACTAATGCCTTTTTTGTGCATCTTCTTTACACACCATGACGACTTTTATGTCCTGTTGCTGAACACAAAAAAAAAAAGAGTAAGAATAACAAGTTAACACTCAAGTTACTCAAGTTAACCCTCCAAGTGTGGCAGAACCCTCCAAGTGTGTTCACTCCCGACATCGGAGGTCTGCTCATGCGCCATTCCATCTGTTCTGCTCAGGAGCCTTGTCTATTGGGAGCGATCGGATCCTGGGTCTCCCAGCTGCGCTGGATCTCTGGGCCGATTCCACTCATAGGACTGGGAGCGAGGGAGCGAGGGGGACAGGGTCGGGACGAGTCCAGTGCAGGCGATGGGGACCCCATCTGACCCAGCCCAAGTGGCCTGACTGCGGGAATCCACTGGAATTCCGGCAGTGGATCTTGTGCTTGACACTGGGAACCATGTGCTTACGGGCCTGATGAAGTACGAGGGAATAGTCCGAACGGCGGCGTATCCACGAACGGCTCACAATGCGAGCTCACGTGGTAACTCGGCAGGATATCAAAGCCTAGCTCATCGCTACGGAGGCCAGGAGGGTTCTAGATTGATTTTCAGTGTATACTTCACAAGCTGCAACCAAGGCGCCACTACTGGAGAGACTATTCCTTGCAACACTGCTCGTTTAAACATGGGATAAAGGCGAGTATAGTAACTGACCAAGGGGAATCACGTAGTAGGCATCAGCACCGAACGCTATTCACCGGGGTCACCAGGGTCACCTACCCGTTGCACTGCTTCGTGCTCCCGCCGTCGGCTCACTCCCGTCGCCTGGGGAGGCCGAAACTCCAGCGGTCGAATGTCGCTGGCGATGTGGTCAATGACACTGGACCGCGCACCGTGGACCTGGACCGACGACGCAAGCGGGATACGGATAGATGGGGTAGGTAGGTAGGCCGTGGAATAGGCCGGTCCCCCAATAGAGACCGGACACCGTCTATCTATTTGGGGATCACTATCAGACCTATGTTCATCATACCCTCTATGTCTATATGAATTAATAGTACAAGGCCATCTATGAATTGAATCGAGGGGCTGGACCCCGGGATGGACTCGGAGAATCATCTTCCCGCCGATTCCTTCGAAGATCCCCGTTTGAGCTGGCCCGCTCACATCCTTAAAAGGTAGGGTTGGAATTCCCCACCCCAACCACCTTCACCGAAATGCAGGTAGGCCAGGAGCGCTAGGGATCTACTCCAAGAATCGTGGCCATCAACCAAATGTTCCCCGGATCTTGGTGAAGCTGGATGAGCTTGATCAGCAACTCAATTGCACTCCCGAAGATTCACTTGTTCGGAAAGCTTGAACCAGGCTTGAACCTTGTAGAATAAAAGCTTCGCCCCAAAAAAACAATCCAAGGTCCGACTTGTTTGGTTCTACCTTCATCACCGTATATACATCCTTAAAATTTGAGCTGAACCTGCAAAGGACATGTACAGGACCATTGTGGCACATCTGGCAAGACCCTGTGGAATACGAGTTGCAGGACACTTGAAACCAAAACATCTGGCAAACAGTAGCAGGAGCTGGAGCCAAAAAGGATCCAGAATCCATTCCTTTCCACATTCGCCGTCTCGGCACACACACCACCGGTTCCCGCTACAGCAGCCGCCCAGGGCGGCCACACCGTCTCAGCTTTCACGCCTGGGATGAAGCCTCGGTACCTGCGAGCCGAAGGGTGCGCTGCGTCTGCCGGCGGGGTGAGCTGCATGAGTCGACAGAGGGTCAGCTGCTTTGGGGGAGCGGCAGGAAAGATGGCCTATAGTGGTTGGTGGAGGAGTCATTCCTTGGTGTGGCCACTGATGGCCTATAGTGGTTGGTGGATGGCCTATAGTGGTTGGTGTCAGCGTAGGTCAGCTGGGATTTGGGAAAAGAAGGCGCAGACGCGGGGAGGATTTATTGGGGCTTTGGCCGTCCGTCTACAGTCTGCTCCACAGCATGGAAGCGCGGAGCAGCACGGGGAGTGATTGACCTACTCCATGCACGGGACAGCGCAGTCACCGAGTCCTGAACTATATTCCTTCCATTCAGGATCTTCTACCCCTTCGATCACTTGAACCCTGGGAACTACCTATAGAAGGAAGCAGCTATCTGGCAAAATCATGGCACAATCATGGGATTCACGCCGTTTGGGGGTTTCTGAATCCTTCCACTCGAACCTTGATGAACGAATCCTGAAAAATGAGATTCTCGGAAAACCAAGAGAAAGAGAGGGAGAGAGAGAGAGAGGGAGAGAGAGAGTGTGTTTCTATTATTTCCTACTTCTCTGGCACTGGAGCCTGTGGAGCCTGGAGCCACTCGCTTCCGACTCTCGCTTCGATGGTCGTGTCCCGCGGACCGCGGGGGGGGGCGACCCCTCGATGTGATCCCGCCGCAGTTCTTCCAACGCTCGGGTGGGAGCCACACGGACCGCCTGGGAGAGGAGCATGTCTTTCTGTTTTGGGCTGGTTTTTCGGCACGTGCACGGGTCGACTCAAAAAGGACAGGTATAGGGATGTATAGGGTGTTCATTGGCCTTTAAACGTGTTCCTCATCTAGTGAGTGCCATGGGGGTTGGCACACGTTTATCAATTGCCCTGGTGCGGAGGTCTGAGCTCAGTTTGCTGGCTCAGTTTGTCGCACCTTGCGTGGTGTTTAGGTGTCCAGCGCAGCTGCGTCATGTGGAAGATTCCTATATTCTGAATGAAGCACAGCAGGATCACTACAGAGTTACTTGCAAGCACGTGCCACTTTTGGGTCTATGATCAAAGTACTTCAAAGATATGGATTCCGAGTGTAGGGCATGGCTGCCGAATCATTTGCTAGTTGACACGTACCCCAAAAATCGAAGAATCAAATCGATCGGGCTCGGCCTTCTTCAAGGAAGCTCCCCACCCTGAGGCAGGGGAGCTCTTTGAGCGAAGCCTGAGCCCTTTGTAGCTACTTCACGTAAGACCTCCGTCTACCGCCCTCACTGTATTTGTCAGGCCATCTGTGCGCACCTGTCCCAACGGTCTGGGCATCCGAGCCGTGCTGGTTAGGAAGGGACTCATTGAAAGACCTCAGACGCCACCGTCCATGATACACTCCCTGAAATCATGTTACGCGGGGATGGCCTATTTGGATTATCATGTTCTCTGAAAACAGGCGGTTTTGCACCTCCATGTTAGTGACTTGGAGTGTTTGTGTTGACAACCCCTGAAGAAGCCACACTCTGGATACTCTGCAACCAACCTACATGCTGTGCAAAAGTGTGAGCAATACTCTGGATCCTTCGCAGACCATGGAGAGACGACCTTTTCCGCGATCCAAACGGCACAATGGATTGCGCCGCCCGTCAGTTGGGTGACCCGTCGACACCGAGTGTCACGAAAGATGCCGAGTGTCCTGTCGTGCTTTCCTCTGTTAATTGCTAATGCCAAACACGACTAATGGGACTGCCATCTATGCCGATCAGTTGGGGTGGTTGAAGACGGGTCAATGTATGTAAATATGGCAGTCCCATGGAGTGTCTGGGAATAGGTTGGAGGCCATCGCTATGAGGTTGAAGAAAAGGACACTCCTTCATGCGTCTTGGTCGACCTGCGAAGTCGCCAAGAGCAAGAGCAAGGTCGGAGCAGTCACCCGAGACCGTCAAGCACGTTCTCCAAGTCTTTCCCAAGCGGTGCGAAATCTGCAACTGCTCTACCCTCTATAGTGGTTTCAGAGTAGATGGCACTGGCACCCCAAGATGTCTTTTATATAGGGGTCCACATAAACCACCGACCTTGGGCCATCTACTCTCAACCCACTATTTTCAGGAAAATGGGTGGATCTCCAGTTATTTTTCTCCAACAGGATGACTCCTCTAAACATCTGACAGGTGTTTTTCTCATCGCGCTTCCTGCCTCACAGGCGTTTCCGCCGTTTCGGAAGCTGCTCAGGTGTAGCGGAAGCTGTGGACGCGAAAAGTTTCTGGACGGCAGCTGGCAAGTGACCACCTTTCAGTTGAGCCTGATTCATCGCGACCGCGGCTCGATTTCTGCTTGTCTGAGGGAGTTCTTGTTCTTCAGCGTTTCACTCAATCGACGTTCGCATATTTGTCTTCTGTTGGTGGGATTCCGGTCATTGTTGTATGATTCATGCTTCTTGAACGGGAGGCCAAAGTTATCTGTCCACTCCAGTTCTGAGCACGTTCACCCTACTATAGACTTGACTCATTTCAGCAAATTCAGGGGGTAGGGGTAGTGAAATCTGCCCATGTTCCGCACTTTAACAATCACTTCCAACGCGACTCTGTATGCTTCAATATACTTCACCAATCTATTATAACACCCAATAACCAGTGTGTCCTTTTAACCAAAAATATGTTGATGTCTGAAATCAATTGAACTTCAAAACAATCCTCTCATGTACCCTCTATATGCAACCAACACGGAAGTGGACAACTTTGCAGAACACCGTTTTCTTTTCACGGCCATGCTCCACTATTCTGACGATCAGATCAAGGGTACACAGTACCCCCAAAACTCCAAAAGCACCATCAAACCACCTCCAGTTTCGAGGAAACTACTCTTCCTGACGGGTCCTAACCATGTTACCTGGCCATGCATCTTGGTTTAGCACAGGACCATGGCGTGTCGTCCCATTTTCGCTACGGCATGCGCCCCTGATTTCGCTCGCCTTCACAGCGGGAGATTCAGCTGCGTGTCTCTGAATTGCTGTCTTTAGGCCCTCCACGTCCTGTGAACGTGCGGTGTGAAGTGAACTTCACAGACTGCCCTACCTGAGTGACCCGATATGATATAACATGCATGGGGTTTCTTGGGGTATGCTTTGATCAGGTCTTTTTGTTGTTTGTTTAGCAATGGTTGGCTCAGTTTTGGATTGGTGTGTTTTCTCTTGCACGGAAGACTCAGCAGGAGGATTGTATGATTTGACAAATATCCAGTGCGCTTTCGCTACAAGTAGGCCTTAGAAAGTTCCATAGAAGAAAGTGGCAGAAAGTGGTTGGTTTGCTTCTATTTCTCTCCGAGGACTCTGGGGCCCTGACAGAGTCCAAAGACCAATGATCATGTTAAGACACAGGGGTTGGTTTCTTCGTCCACGGGCTTCCATTGTTGAATCATGTTGAATCTGAAAACAAAACAATCACGTGGCCAGACTTCTAGGGCGGGAATGACTTCAGCACCGGAAAGTCAAACCAGCTTAGTAAGGAACAGGTGCCAGTGCCAAACCAATGATTATCTAGGGAAACCCGGTTTCTCTGAACGGCGCTGCCGCCGCGGCTTAAACAGTGAATCAACAGTCATTCCTCTGCAGTATGACCCCCGAGGCACAGTTGAACAGCACCACTGCCACAAGGCCCATCCGACACCCCGCCTTCAAGACTGCGTGCTCCGCTATCTCTGAAAAGTTTTCGTCTGTGATCATACCTTGTTCGGACAAACAAAAACTCATTTGAAAACCGTTGAGCAAGCATTCAATTCAATATTGAAAGGAGTCAATTTGGTGGCACAACTCCCGAGACCAAACGAATATAGATTCGATCAGAACAGAATGCACCAGGGAGGCAAACAACCAACTGCATCCACAAGCTACTTCTTGAAGCACCAGTACATTATGCCATAATGTCGAATAACCTTGTAAGCTATGATAAACTCGTGACGACCTCTGTTTGGGGAAACCACCCAGGCTCGGTCATCCTCTGCCGGGCCTTGAAGCAGATTTGCGAGGACCATGACCACGACATCCACCTGCCAACGATGAGCCAAATCCAGCGCCTGCAAAGCGGTCTTGTAGTCAGGCTCGTTGTGCGTGGAGCAGGTGTACAAAATCCTGGAGAAGCGGGGCGAAAAGTTCAGCTTCAAACACAAATACACTGGCATGCGGAAAGCTAACTACGTACGCCTCTTAACCCTGTCCCCATTCACTACGTGTTATCACGTGTGTGTGTGTGACATCTTGCGGTAGTTCTACATGTGAGAGCCTTATGAGTGGCGTAAGTTTAAACAGGTGTGGAAATCTGAGCATGCTATACCAGCCGAAAAATGTTGACACAAATCCGATCCGCTATGGTTCTGAACCCCAAGCATTTATGCCTTCTGAAGTCTGAAGTACAAAACTTGATAAGCCGGCCTCCCCTGCCTCCCTTCCTCTCTCGCTGAGTCTTTTCACCTTCGATATTTTTCCTCTCTCTCTCTCTCTCTCTCTCTTGTTCATCGGATCATTGATCATGTACGTCTTCTCCCTTTAACTTCACAACCACAAGGAAAAAAATCATCAAACATCTCCACCAAACAGCTAGGTATTCCAAACATCTCCAAGCATTTCTTTGGTACTAAACTCAAATACACACTATAATGTGAGGGCCCTATGTCGTTTAGACTGCTTCAGTAGGAGGTCATGTCACAGTACCTCGTTCAAACAAATTTAGTAGCAGATCACACTATCTCATACTATCTCGTTCAGACTACTTTAGTGTCATCAAGAAAAAATATCGCGTTTATGTGGGGGCCTTATCTCGTTCACAAGCGAATACTGACGATAGACAAGCAAATAGAGCATGCCGTACACTACTTTAGAAAGCCTAAATAAAAGCGGTTGCTCATATGGGAGCCTTCCGTGATGAATCGATATTTACCGGAGCGACAGCACTGCAGCTGGGCATCTCTAGGAAGAGCGACACCTCCCTCTTCGCAACATCTTTCACCTGGATCCGTTGCAATTGCCCCTCTTTCATTGGTGAGGCCAACATCGCAGTAACCACAGCAGATGCTTCTTTGAGCATCTGAGCATGAGCTGTCACGAGCCCATCAGCTGCTTCGATGGTCAAGTCGTGCGCAGATTCGGCGGTCAAAAACTTTTCCCAAAGCTCGATGATGCCCTCGTACACTGGGACTCGGACATGTTGCGTCTCGGCCCCTGCGAAACAGTTGAGGGCCTTTGCCAGTCGTTTGGATTCATCGGAAAATCTTGTGTCGACATCAAACTCTCGCGCCCAAGCCTGAACGTACGATATGGCTGAGAGACCGGAGGGTTTCACGAGCAGCTCGTCTCCATCGGAATCTTTATAAAAAACAAATGTAGCACTTGCCTCTGCTGTACACTTCTGCGTAATGCTTGCCCCATAGCTAATAAAATGTTCAATCATGTTCAGCATCTCTTGTTCACAGGAAGAGTTTCTGAGCAGGACAATCACGCACTGGACAAGGATGGTGAGGCCGTCGTCGTTCCGGCTGCTCCAATCGATGCGTTCCGGATGGAGCCTCTTCAAAGCCTTGATCCAGTCGTTGGCTTCGCAGCATTCGCCGGTGGTCAGCAAAGCAAACAAGAGCTCTGTCTGAGCCATGGCTCTGTCAGGCCAATTGGGGCAAATGTTGACTGCACAGTTCAATGGTGTATATGAACATCGGAGCACTACATATAATATAACCGTGCAGGTCAAGAAGAAACAACATTGTTTCCCAGATTCTGCTTTCCGGTACACTCGGCACATGCTCTTCATTTCAGAGAAATTTGCCACAATGCTCTCGGCACAGCCAATTTCTCTGCGCATTGCCAGTGTTTGAGCACAACAACTGCGTTGAAGACCCGATTGTTCAACGAGCTGGCGGGATTTTTGTGGCACCCTTTTGAGACTGGTGAAGAGGGAGTCCCTCATTTCTTTTTGTCTGGGTGGGCTATGGTGGGCTCTCGATTCAAACATTCTCAAACGTGTGTCACAAGCAATTCATAGCGATTCCGTGGGTTTTCGAAGAACCCCATGTCCTCCGCAGAAGAACATCCATCACCCAGTCCCAAAGACTCCATGAAGGCTCCATGGCACTGGCTTAGGTTCCCCGGCCGCAGGTGGTCCTGTCAAGCGAAAATGGTGGAACTGCGATGGAACTGTGTAGGTCCACTGTGTTCGTTTCGTGGGTCAGGTCTATGGTGCAAACAGGTGCAACCAACATCACAAACAGGAAACAGATAACATACTGGCCATGGATGGCCTGGGATGGCTAGTCTTTCCTTTACAAACTCATTTGCTCCTCTCAGTCTCCAGTGAAAATCCTGGATCATGCACAAACAGAAAGTTTGACCACAACAACAACTAGCTCCCAAACGTTTCAAGTAATTGTGAAATCTATGACTACTGCATACTACTACATTGACCCATAAAACCAGCTAATGTACGGATATATGAGCGGCGGCACGGCATATATTTATTTCTAAACCAAATACACTATCTATTATGTGGTGGACCTGTCTTGTTTGGACTACCTAAGTAGGAGGTAATGTCACAGTATCTGGTTCAGGTTCAGAATGGTTCAGACTACTTTAGTAGAAAATCACACTATCTCGTTCAGACTACTCTTGTCATCCATAAAGGTATCTCATTTGCGTGGGGGCCCTGTCTCGTTCACCAGCGAATACCAATGTTGGACAAACACATTAGAGCATGCCGTAATTAGACACTGTTTTAGTCAAGAATGAATAACTGAATACCATACAAAAAACACGATTGCTCGATATTGCTCATCAAAACCCTGAAGTCTCTCGTGTTTGTTTCTTCTTTCTCTTTTGCCCAGTCTGGTGTGTGTGTCTTGGAGGTCGCACCACTCTGACTCCGCAGGTGGCCTTCGGGCGACCGCCACTCACTCGGTGTGGCCGCACCTCAGCAATCCTTTTGGGTCTGAGGATGACCTGCCAGTCGATCGAGAGCGGGAAGGACCACCGGACCCCACGGTCGGACCAAAGACATAGCACTACCCGCATCCAGAGCAGGTGACAGAGAGGGAACACATGGATTTCTTCTGAAGATCTGAGAAGTTGGACGAGAAGGATGATGAAGCTGGGGCCGAAACCTGAAGACCCTGAGGGGCCCTGAAACGTTGCTTTTTTGACACCTGTGTCTTCCTCGCCCACCCACCAGGACCAGCAAACCCATGGTCACCCACCCACATGCGGGTCACGAACATCCTCTCGCTCAAATCCTCCCGCCTTTGCATGATGGTCTTCCCGGCCGGAGGCCGCAGGTGCGCTGGCACATAGACCTCTGCGGTCCAAATCACGCCACAACAGCGCCAGCAGACTGGTGAACCCGATCTGTGCTGTCACACCCGCCCGAGGCCAAAACAGGGCGGTTTTGGTGCCTGCTTTGCAGCCTATAGTTTCCATTCCAGAGGGATTTTGCTGGATGTATTGTTGATTATATCCAAATTTGTGGGGTTGAGGCGGTTGAGGTTCTTTACAATGAAATCCGCATTGGACTCCGGAAGCACTTTTGCTGCAGAAGATCTCTGCTTCCCGATGACTGCCAACAAAAAAGAGTCAGCTGGGACGTGCTGGCTCGGACCATCTTTCAGAGGAAGGATGACTGCCACTGACAACATGTGACATGCGAGCAATGGCAATAGCTGTTATGTCCAGGATGGCACATCCAAGATACAGTCGTCTTGCATGCCATAAAAGGAACTCTTGATGAAGTGGTATGCTGGCCCATACCATCGATCCATCGATGATCGAAGAAGTGGAAGAGTTAGATGTCCGAGACCACATCAGACCAGCCGCAGGACAACAGGACCATGACATATGTTTGAGAAAATAGCAGGGGTTATCATGGATTTGATGTTCAGGCCAAAATATGTCGTTTCTGTGCCTTCTGCCACTCTTCCGCCCCTGGCACCTCATCCGCCATGGCAATGGCTTTGGAGAAACAGCTGACAAAAGGGTGTTACACACAGTTGCTCCTGACAATTGTAATTCTCTTTGATGCTTCCTTTCTCTCATCAACATATCATGTCTGACAAAGACACTCAAGCAACTAGAGACTTCTTGCCTAAATAAAAGTGCCCAAATGATGCGTTTATACTTCGGGCTTGCACAAGGAAAATAGCTCAGGCACTCATCAGTTAATCCATGGTGACAATGGTGGTCACACTTGCAAGTGGATATAAATCATGCCATCTAGCACCATAGGTCAGAATAATTGTTCATCCCTAAGAATCCTTGGGCTCTCCATGGCAGGGGTCGGACCCTCCATAGCAGGGGTTCGGGCCCACACTCACTCTCCAGCGCGAAGACGAGACGGGAACACCCGTAGCCTCTTCAATTTGCTGCTGCCAAAACTAGCTGTAAACCTGCCAGACCAAAGTATCCCAAATGCCACCGTAGTTTGCATGTGTATGAACATGAGTCGAGACACTCAGTGCTTCCTAACACCAGCCAAAATTTTACATGCTAGAGTCGTCAATCGCTCTGGCTATGATCATGTTCTTCTGGTGCTGAAGGCAAGCTTCCACGTGAACCGCCCACCATAGCGTACAAACGCAGCATGTCTTCTTAAGCCTGCGTTGCACCAGTTGCACTCACACCATTAAATTGCAGGTGCAGCGAATGCACTGATTCCTGCAAGTTTGAAAGACTCTGTCGCCATCAGAATGACCATGTGCCAGAAGCGCAGGTCAGGTGCATCTATCAAGGTAAAGTCTCTGCTAATCAAGCTACACCGGGTTGAACAAAATGGTCCTAGCACCACAGGCCTCAACTTCCTCATTCACCACGGACTGTCAACCAGGGATTTTCAGGAGCCAAGAGAACAGCTCCTGCTCCAAAACAACCCTTTTCATAGCATCCTTCCAGACTCTCGAAGGGAAATGAGGTCCATGATTGGGAGGTCTTAAGTCCAAGAAGTACCCCAACCTGGCCGCTCTTTCTGACACCATGGATTCCTGTTTCTCCGTTCTCATGGCGAAGGGTCTTTGCCTATCTATAAAACCAAAGATTTGTGAGGCCTCAGCAATCCGGATATATCCGGATGCCTCCAATCTCTATCGGTTGAGGTAGGTAGGCAAGATGATGATGCTGGGTAAGACAAAAATAACACAACAAATCTAGTCAATGTCAAGGCACAAAAAAGGATCACGCTTCAGCGTCTCCCGGGGGAAAGAATACACTCTGACGGAACCGCCAAGATCCACAATTCACCTGGTCTGAATCACTCTGACAGAGCCCTCATCCCATCTGGATCTCATCTGCTCTTCATCCCGTTTGGACACTTAGGCAGTTCTTCGATTGGACGCTTGTAACCGATTGAGTGAGATTCCTGCCACACCATTCTAATTGTAGATTCTATGATTCGATAAAAAAGCTGAACCTAGATAAAATATGATAAAATCATATATACAAGTATCACAACCGATCACAACAAAGCAGGGGAGTACAAGCAACTCTGCCTCATTTCCTCGATCTTAAACGAAAGAAACCACTGACCACACTTGAACCGCAAACTTGCTGGAGGCCCCGAGACGCAAAACTTGCAAGAGAATTGGGTGGTCAAAACCCGGGCGTGCCCAGTTCAACATCGCTACTTCAACCAAACAATCACTTATACAAACAGCCAGAATCTCAAATCCAGCTTTCAAACATGTCCAGGCCGCGGTTGTGTCGTGCTTGGGTTTTGACCCGCCCTGATGCTGCACAGATCCAGCAAATGTCGTCAACTCTCGTCACCAGATGATGGACAACCTAGTCATGAGTCGTGTAATTAATCTCTTAATTAAAGAGATAACAATGACTATTCATTGTATAGATCTTCAGAAGGTGCGTTGATAATCATGGATAATTCGACTCCCTAAAACATCCTGAACCCACCGGTCACGTCAGGTGACGACCTCAATCTGACAGATTCCTCGGTGACGACGAGGTCTTCCGACGAATTCCACCGGTCACTGCAGCTCTGAGTGCCGGAGCACTCCACAAGTGCCCTGGAAGGCAAGGCCTCCCCAAGGCAAGACAACGGAGTGCGTCCAAAGCATAGGCCAGGACACGCGGCAACGCGAGAAAACTCGGCCAGTCGTAAGTGCGTCGACATGTGTTTAATGTATGTCTATCCTAATACCTGGTTGCCAGTGCATGATGATGGTTAGTAAAGGCCTTGTTCAAAAATAGCAATAATTGCTTACTGACTGTTACAGGCAATAGGACAGACCCAACGTTTAATGTTGTTTTGCTTGACTTTGGGTTCATTCCATGTCCCTGTTTCTTTCATTCATGAGTGACCCAATTGATGATGGGATTGCCAATTCAGAACGGCAAACATCCAAGGAATTTTTGGAACCCTCGCAAAAGCACCGCTTTTCAAGCCGCAACAAACTAGTGGGTCACATATGAGAAACCAAACCAGATAGACCATGCTCGGACCTTGATCTAACAACAAGACAACAGGAAGCTAGAACTGGTAGGTATATATAGCCTGCGTGGGGTCAAGACTCGGGTCAGCAACTACAAATAAAATCAGTCATACTGAAGTACAATCGGTGCGGATCTCATGAATATCTTAAAGATTCAATCATCGTCATCAGGGAAACTGCCGGGTATTTGGTCTAAGTTTGGGGGATTCCCAAATCCTCTTGTTTTGAGCCTATGCCGTCTGTGTCTGTCTCTTTGACCAAAGAACACACCCAGGTGCCCGCGCGTAGATCGGAAAAACGGGCAGCATGGCCATGACGGCGGAAGGCTTGACCTCGAGGGATGAATCATAACCGAACGGCCACCTGGGATCACCTGGGTGGTGACCCGGGTGGTCACCTGATCATCTGGGATCACCTGGGATGACCTGGGTGGTGCTCAAGGTGCTCACTGTCTTTGAGAAAGATCGTGGCACCTCTGACGTGTTTGGGCTGAAACTAGAAAACAACTTTCTCAATGATCTGGCAATACCCTTTAGTGACCTCACTTCTCAAACCCATTTGATTTCTTTCTTAAACTAAGCCAGAATATTAATATTCCAAAAAGATCCAAACATTGGATTCGGATCCCTGAAAGTTCCCATTATCGTAAGTACTGGAAGCTCTACATTGTTGGGATCGGAGCTTAAGAATCTCCCGGCCAAATCACCAGGAATTCCAACAAAGCCAAGCTATCATGTCCTGTACAAATGATGTGGCCAAAACCATGGCAAAAGCCCCGTGCGGTGAACAAAAAAAAGCCAGGACTTGGCCAAGTGACGCACCAAGGGGCCTGAAAGTCCATAGCTGCTCAGGGACCTGATGATAGCGGAGCTGTCGGTCTACGTCGCTGCAGGCTACATCTGGCCGACCATATCCTCTACATCTCCTGCCTCGAGCAGGCACCGTAAAGAAAGACCTTGAGATGCTAGACATATTTGATCATATTTGTATAGTAGAGACACGTATATATATTTATATCATATAGACGACATGATACTGCTGGCATGATACTTCATTATACAAATCCGAACCACATAATCGTGGCTTGACTTTCTGAGCTGGTGTCAGATGGTTGCCCTGGATGTTGTTGATTGTGACTATCCATAGCCAAATAGTTTGTAGGTAACCAAAACTGATCTCTGATCACCTAAAATCTCACAGCTTCTTGGCCATACCACTAGCACTCTGCAAGAGAGTGCCTACAAGGAACATCTAAGTACAGTATGGTTTGCATCTGCTGTGTACGAAACTTGGTGAGCTTCCAAGTTAATTAAACGGATGACGATTAAGGATTTATTCCCTTGTAGATTCACCATTATGAGTGCAGTTACTAGGATGAACTTTCCGGACACCTATCTTTCTTCACAAGTCCACCCACAACTGCCCGTCAGTAGGCCACCAAAAAACTCACTCATGCCCAAGAAGCGCGTCATGGTATCTTTTCTTGCCTGGCGCGACAGCTGGCCCGCAGCTGTGGGTCTACAGATCTCTGCAAAACAAACAACTAGATACTTACAGGATCTCTAGACTATCGTCACCAGACAATTAGACCACTATGGGTCTGTGGGTCTAGATCACTAGAGATCCCTGACAATTGTTGTCACCTGTGACTATCGTCATCTATCGTCTATCGTCCGGGGAAAATGGGTGGCTGGAGAGTCAAATCAGGATGTTGACGCCAGATGGTTAGACTTATAGACCAAATGGTGCTGAGCTGCTAGGCCGCTTCGGCCGAGAGAGAGCATCTGCCCGTGGCCCAGAATCCCGGAATCCGTGGCCACCTCACCATTGGACGCCAGTAAGAGATATTGGCGGACTGACGCACCCTGCGATTCCGACATCGCACGACTGGTTCAGGGTTGGTTCCTTCCGACGACCCACCGTCCTTCGGTCGGAGCGACCCTCCACATGGTGAAGTGGCGAAGGTCGGATGCAGGGTAAAACACGCGGCTGCACATGGGGAAGTGTCTGATGCTGCGCGGCACATTGTACAGTAGATGTAGTAGAGTAGGTCAATACTGGAGATGGTAGACATCTAGAAACATACAGAAGACACGAAACCCAACACTTGACCACATACTGTCACACACCTTTGGACAAGTTGAGCCTTCGGGTAGCAATTTCAAAGGTCTTGGTGGCCAAAGAACACCTTGGCAGACTCCACCAAAAGACCTGACTGAAAGGAGAAAGTGATCCCCAAACAACATGATTGGACACGACAACCATGAACTATATACGTAAATGCCTTTTGAAAGGTATATAAATAAAGGTAGTTAGTATAAGGATTCCCATGAATTCCCCATCTGCCCAAACCTCCACTTGTCTTTCGTCCGACTTCTCGATGTTGGGGTCACCATCCAGCCTCCAGCCTCCAGCTTGCCACCACCATCTTCCACTTGAAATCGGACCCTTCTTTCCCGCTTGCTCCACCCGCCTCCACCCGGCTCCCTCTCCCTCTCCCTCACTCGGGGAACGGCACCGATCTCTGAGCGGGAACGCTGAGCCACGGCTTCGGCGAGGTACATCTCCATCGCCTGGTCCGCCCCTTTTTACGCGGTCCGCACCGACTGCGGACAGCGGACCGGTGGCGCGACGTGAGCACACGGCTGCAGCTAGGAGCCACTGGCCCGTTCGAGTCGGCGACGTCAGTAGGAAAACGTCGGTGGTTTTTTGGGGTATAGCAGGTTTGGGATACCATGCAACTGTTCTGCAGATCTGCAGGTGGCCAATTTCCGGTGGCAAAGGGGAATCAGTTGTGTTGGGCAATCAGAACGTCTGCACAACAATGACAAAGAGTACAGATTTCCAGGGAAAAGAACGGGGCAGTCGAGTCTCCTTCAGAAAACAAACAAGAACAAACAGTAGGCAAATGTCAGCATTTATTTGGAGAAGGAGAAGCCATCAAAGTAGAAACAGTACAATGCAAAATTATGGAAATGATTGAAGGGACACTAAGAAAAGTCGTGATTTCTAGAGAACGACAGTAGAGAAATCATGAAAAATACAAAGATTCAAATGTGCACGTGCTTCTAAACAAAGTACGTACCTACAAATCTATAGATCTAGAGAAGAGTATGGAACACATGGTCTTCATTACACTTCACCGCATCAAAACGTCACCCAATCACAAAAATTGCCTGAGATATCACGTCACGTGAGTTCACAAGTTCTGAGGTGCCTGGTCTCAGGATGTCTCAGGACTTCCCGAACAGAGGTGCTCCCTGAAGCTACGACATGGACCAAAACCGCTACTATGAACACATGCCTGGCCCTATAGTAAAACCTCCTTGCAAATGTCAGGTCACATGACATATGTCAAATGGTCTACTTCTCTCAGAGCCAATAAGTGACCTTCCCCTTTCACTGTTTCCTGACTTGGCCGTGCGAACAACAAGCTAAATCACTGGCACAAACTCAACAAGGATAACCACCTTGCAGCTTGAGTGGAAGGACATTCCCGTCAACTATGGTGGCTTCTCGTGCAAGATCCTTCCTTTCCTGTATGCTATGCAGAAAAGCTACTGATGATGTGGCATATGGATTAATCCCAAACATGCGACAGGGTGCTTGGGAAGACATGGCCTCTCTTTGAAGGAACGTCAAAAAAATGCTCCTTCCCCCAACCTCTGCTCCATCTACTCGACGAAACACACCGAGAAGCGCCGAGCGCGTCCCCGCCTCACGATGCTCTTCGCTCACGCGCCATCCTGACGCCCACGCCGCCGGAGCGGAGGTCAAATCGGTCCAAAACCGAAAGAACTCCACCGGAACGCCCAGAAAAGCGTGTGATGTTCGGTCCGAAAAACGGAGATAGATGGTCAGAAAAGCTGGAAAGAATTGAGTTAAGACTTGTGGACTTGGGCAGATTGGAACAACTGTCTCAACATTCCATACATACCCCTATATAACGGTTTTTGACCCTCTTAATATTTGAACGACCCAGCCATTTGGTGGGGGAAATGCCCCATTCTGACACAAATCCGAAGATACTGAGAGTACATCCGTTAACCATCGTTAACCATACTGTTGCGCAAAGGACTCGCAACACTAGCAACAAGCGAGTCGACTAGCAGCCAATTATGGGCCTCAAGACTCTCGCAAGTGAGGTTGAACAATTCTACAAAGGAGGAGTCATGACTACATAATCCCAAAATTCTAGTCTGTCTCACAGGCTACGAAGAAGTCTACTCTGGTCTCAGCGATAAGATGTGTCCATTGTCCGCCCAGACCAGGCCCTCCAGGGCTTGCCCCGCGGAAGTCACCGACGAGGTGCCGTAAGACTCATAGATTTTCTCCACAACAGCCACCTGAGGGGGGACTCCCAGCAAATGAGATCTTCAACATGTTCTTTCGTGGAATCTATAATACAAAGAATGCAAGTTGGAGTCTGTTCATAGATGGTCCTGTCTCTGCTGAAAACAGTCTCTGCTGAGTCTCAAGGTACGTCATATGTTTGTTTTGCTTTTTGATGGGAGTCTCTTCAAACCTTACCACCTGGGACACTGAATGACACTGACAATCACATGAAAACCCTGGAAAAGTCAGATTCTCTTCAATGACAACTCACTTGATGGGCCCTTGGAGCTTCCTAGACTCGCTCAGATCCTCGTTACACACTTGGTGTTCTTCATGGAGACTGAGCTTCAGGCTGGGTCAGCTACAAGGCTTTCGTACTGTACATGCACTAGGTGCTCGGTCGTCTCGGCCTTCTGGCAGGATGAAAAGAAAGCGACTCAGATTCGGTCGGGAAGGTCTGTTTGGAGAGAGAAATCCTAACGTTCGTGGTTGCGACCAATAGGCTGTTGGCACGGCACCCGAAAGGTTGCTTCCATGGCGTCCACAAAGGCAGTCTGGCTCAAGCATGACCAATCTGGTGGCAATCTAGTTCATGCAATACATTAGCTCTATGATCTCAAATCTCTTCTGTATGAACACTCCCCTGTTCAGAAATTCTGAAAGTGACATGCTGGTTCTGCCATGCTTGGACCCTCAGTGACATGGGATGCTGTGGGATGCTGTGCTTCATGGCATCAGGAGACCGACCGCGACCGACCGCGACGGTCTGCTCGGGTCAGTCTGCTCGGGTCTTTAGACGGTCCCGACCCTCGAAGGTGATTCATCCCCACCGTGGAATGGTGTTGAAGAAGAACTATACCGGCCTGGCCCGTTCAAGGGGTGTGAAATATACCACCCCGAACAGGGGGGCCTGGTATTTTGTATTGTATTAAATCTCATTCCCCGATCAAACCACCCGTGCCACCACAGACACACCGGTTGTAGAGACCAATTGCTCGTCGAAGTGCTCCGAAAAAACACACCGGCCGATCTTCTGGCCTGCTGAAGCACTTCGCCCGCCCTCGGTGACCAAACGAAGAGAATAAGAGCACGGAAAGGCGGCGGGCACGAGCAGGGCAGAAACGTGAAGCGTCATTTTTTCAAGGGGACCAAACCGGGGGGTGCAAATCAAATACAGAAAGAACATTATATGATGATAATAGAATATTACAAATGTATATAACTATATATGTGTATATATATGATGTCCCTTTGTGGTTGGATATGTCAGAGACATTGGTTGCATTGCTTTAGACTTTAGAATCATGTCTGATCATGTCAGTGACACAAGAAATATATGAGCGTTTCGATCTTGGCCATGCTCTGACATGGAAAGGAATTCCTTTGACTGTAGGGAATTGCCCGCGGTTCCCTGGGACTGAAGTGAGCCATCTTGCTACAATTATAGGGCGACGGATGCCAAGCTATTTTGATTAGATGCTGCAGAAGGGCCCAAACCCTACTACTTCCAGTCGATCGGCGTCCCAACCAGACAACCACCAGTTCTCTCGAACGGCCTCCGCCGGCGTCCCAACCAGACGTCCTACACGTCCCGCCAACACCGTCATGGCCGTGAATGGACCGCTGTTCCGTCCCCATTGGCCCACCTGCCGAGGGCGACGGAGAGGTACTTCAGCACCCCACGGCCCACCTGCCGAGGTCCCGCGACGAGAGTCGACGTCCGACCGGTTTGGGATCGGTTAGGCATCGTGACGTTCGGGGGCTCCCGGTGAACCGGTGCGCCCGAGCCGGTGGTGTGAGCCGGAGACAGACCGAGCTCATGTCGGACTCGCAGAGTGAGCCGGTGGGCTATGACATGCGGGTAGGCGGGTAGGATGGTTGAGGTGTTTCCCGCCCACAAAAAAGGAGTTCAGGATGTGATTCGAAGTCACATCCCCACTAGTCTGCCCGGTGGAGACACCCACTTTCCAGTGCCTGCGGGGGAGACATGTTCATGCTCCACAGACTTATTTCTTCAAGAGACACTCAGTCGTGGGACAATTTCTTGATCTCATTGTTGGGTCACCAGTAAAGCCATGAGTCAAAAGAAATAGTGTTTCCCCTTAAGTACATGTTGGGCTTTTGCTACCTTAGAGGTAAGTATGGTGCTCATACTATCTGGTAGCCAGGGTGAGGAATCCTAGTAAGTAATCTGAAGTATTCATGGTGGGATGGCGTTCAGTTCCACTTGGACTTTGACGGAGGAAACACGCATCATCAAACCTGGGGTTTCTTTAGTCTTTGAACTTGCGATGCTGAAAGAGAGGTGTGCGTCCGTTGGGCAACTGGAAAATGAAAACAAACTGCAGGTGTATCTGCTGCTGTGCTGGAGTTGCAGTGCTGTACATGATCACAAATTCCTTCCATGCCCACAAAAACTCAAACATGATGCAAAATGCACATGGGTTCACAAATTCGGGACACTGCTCAGAATCTATGTAAGTTGGAAGCAGAAAGAACTCGGAGGCTCACTATGTTACCGTGGTCCAAATACATATGGTGGTTGTCCAATATTCTTGTTTATTGAAACGGCCATTCTTCGCGAAAAAAACATTAACATTCGCAAAACTTTTGCCCCTGTGTTTTTCTTTCGCGGGGGTTCACATCACTTGAAACCATTTTCGCGAAATAATCCCTGTGCTTTGGAGGTTTCTACGGCATACATAACATAGGGTGGACTACATGAAACAGGAAGGAAGCTTCACACGGATTCCAAATTTGAAGCTGCTGACGGTCAGGAAAGGAATTTGAAGCTCTCGACATTAAAAACCCTTACAAGGACCTTTTGGATAACTCCCATATGGGTGTGTTCAGTGGAGAGGTCTCCAACCAATGGGTAGACTGGTCTATTTCCCTGTTTGGAGAGAGGGTCTTTGGGGTGTCTCCGTAATTTGGCTACACTCATTGGCTGAGTATGGATATACACAATAATACACTCATTGTAATGAGAGGGTCTATTTCTCCGTCATTTGCGCAATAATACACAATAATACACACTCATCTGAGTTCATCACCGCAAGCCTCTGAGCGATCGGGTGCTACACTCAAGAACACCTGCCAGGACGGCACCGCGGCCAACATGTGTGACCACGGGCACCACGGCCAAACATGTGAAGAAAGAAAAACCAGTGACCCAGCAGTGTTCACCAGTGAAAATCCGTGTTGTCTAGTGCAGTTGTTTCATTGAGAACGGCCATTCTGCCTCGGCCTCACAGCAGGGATACACTGATACACATGTCATGCGAAGTACTGCAGGTTCTGCCCAACAAATCTCACATGGTGCAAAACCTGCTCACATGGTGTCCTCACCAAACAACAGGTGGATTGTGTCGCGAGGTTTAAAGACAGCAATCCGCTTATGGCAGAAAGAAGATGCTCCCAAATGCGATGCAAGTATATGGATAATTCTGATAATGTTGCCTGGTTGATTACAATAACAATAATACCGATATATACCGATCATACCCTAGATTTACATCTTGATATATAGGGGACGGTGATTCCAAATGACATGCTCCATCCAACGCGTCCACCTGACACCTTGGGACCAGAAGGTATGCCGGCGTCGGTCCAACCTCCTGCTGGCTTTTCCGCAAGGAACATAGAGAGCCCACCTGCTCCAGCGAGCTGCTTCATCCAGCGAGCTGGTTCGACGGAACACGGCGGCAAACATATCTACATGTGGCTGGCCGGTGTCCAAAAGACATCTGTAACAGCACCGAATTCCAGATTCCAGAGCAAATGGGTCAAATGGGTGAGTATCAAAATAGGGAGACATCTCAAAACCCCCTGGAAGAAGGAACATAGACCAGTCTACCCCTGTGTTGCTTTCGTCTCCCTATAAGTAATACACACCCAAATAGTGCTTACTTTAGCCTGACCAGCAGATACCAAACAATAACATCTAACAAAAAACCACCGACCGTTTAAACTTTGTTGTCATACCCCACTTGCTCATTATATGTATACCACTTCTGGTTGAAGAGGTTTAACATCTAACAAAAAACCACCACCAAACAACCAAAACCCCCGGGGTTGTTTTAGCCCTCCGGATGCCTCACTAAACCACCGACCGTTCTTTGGGGCTCAGCTCAGTTGGGAACCGAACGGACCCCCCCCCCCGGCTGAGCGCCCTGCCACCTGCTCGGCGGGCCGGTGGCACCAAATCACCTGCCCACCGGCGGCGAAATGCGGGCTCCGAGAGGTAGCGGTTTGGAGGGAAGTTTCGGGCTCCGGTGACAAAGACATGGGCAAAAAGGAGCTGAAGCAAATACATGGGTTTTTGTATGTTTTTGTTGATTTGGTCAAGGGGATTCTGCAGACCAAAACTCTGCAACCGCCATGCTTGGTGTCATTTTTGTTCGATCCAATGGAATGCTTAAGCATTTCTTAAGATTTCTTAAAGGGGATTCTGCAAATACCCCAAAGAATGATTGATGAACCACCTTGTGCCGTTGCGTGCACATCCTCCTCACACACCGGCTAGCTGTTGCGAAAAAATGCGCGTGAGACACAAAAACAAGGGTCGTTTGAAAGTGAGACACGTTGAAACACGTTGGTTGAACAATCAATCTCCAGGTATAAATAGTCATAAAGCATGTAAAGAAATGGCTTGAACGTTGAATTATCTTGAATTATCTTGAACGTTAAGTTACATCAATAGGCGTGCTTGCTGGATGTATGATGTAGGTGAGTTCCTCCTATCACCCTTCAGTTCACACAAGTAATCAAAGAAGAGCACGCCTCCCTCAAAATCTAGAAGCTAAATCAGTAGTGCAAGCGCTTGTGCGCTCGATCGACAGCGGACGTCGACCGATGTTGACAGGTCCCTCTGAGCTTTCCCACGCGTGCATCGGGAAAGACCGACCTGTGTCACAGGCGGAGGTCGGGCGTCGACCAACTGGGTCACAAGTTGTTGGCCCTTCTCCATGGCTTTGGTTCTGTGGTTCTGTGTTTTGTTGAACTCGGCTCCAAGCCAACGCATATTTTTCGCCCAAAGAAAAAGCATCGCCTTCTCGAACCAATTGTTGTGTGATGTCGTGTGACCCCTGAATAGCAACGGACCCAGCAGCGCCCTCGTCTGTTGACTCGCCTGGTCTGACCACCAACACTACTCACTCATTGCGCCTCTCTGCCCCAAAACTTTAAGAGCTTCACAGCTTCACAGGGTCTTTGAGTTGTTCAGGCATTGACGTATTTAGAGATTGCATCCATCCCAAGAACTATTTACAACCCATTCTTCGCAGGTCAACATCCACTGCTCCCCTTCCGGCCAAAAAGTCCCGGTGCAAAAAGCGCCTTCCGCGCGGCACCTAGCGGTGTCCCTTCACCGGAAACGCGCGGAGAAGCGGCGCCTCAATTCATCCAGGTATTGCAGGTGAATCAGTTGACCTGCACAGCTCCAAGCTCTCCACCGGAGCTGAACTGATTCCACCGCCACGAGTCGAGATTCCGACCATGCGGAGCTGGGACTAGGAGTTACGCTCACTTATCGAAGAGGTCATTTGGATGGGTTTTGATGAATGATGATGAATGTATAATCCTTCCAGTCCCATGGATTATTTGGATATGGATCCGTCACCAAAGACTTGAGCAAAACGATTACACATGAATAGCACCCCCAGAACCCCCGCCCGGCTCTTTGCTTCTTCCCCTCCGCGTACAGGAAACATGTGCACTGAGATGTTCTAGATACTAGCTCAGTTTTCCACCCCGTTCATGTCCAGCTTGCTGACAGCCCAAAATCATGTCATTTCAAAAGTGAAGCGGCTGAAAGGTGCGCGTCGCAAGTATGAAGTATCCTCCATCCTGCTCCACCGGCCACAGGCCGAAAAAACAGTGAAGTACAATATCCAATAACAAACTCTCAAACCACGTATGGAATATCTAGTTTCCTACATTGACCCTATTAAAGTGGTTAAACATCACCCCGGTGTTAGGTTAAATATGCCATGCACGGTTTGTGATCGGGGCTGTTGAACTAATCAAACTGGTTAAAACGGGGCAGTCATGGTCCAGTCATGGTCTCTAAAGCAGTCTGACCAACGGCAGGCACCAAAGACGGGCAGCGCTTGGGACATGAACCGATCCCCAAGCAGTTCAAATCCCAGCAAAGCGTTGAACATGATTGAAAGCTTGAGTCTGAGGTGCAAAAAGTCTCCATAAAGCGACACAAACATTCTGGAGCATTGAGGATGAACATGGTAACATGGATGAACATTAAATACATTATATATAGACCCTTTAATAAGTGATACAACCCCACAGTGCTGCGCCCATCAAACACACCCTTCGCGCTGAACCGTCCGCATACGGCCAGCACATCGCGCCTTTCAGCACATAGCGCCGCGCCTGGCTGCCTCTGCGAAGCTGCACCTGGGGGCGTCATGCGGAAGAAGCTGGGAAGAAGAGCTGTGCCACCGGATGAAAACTCCCAGCTTGGACTTGCTTAAGGAACCGGAAAAAATACCCAGATGCCCTAGATGAGGATGTACCCAGTTCGGGAAAATAAACACATTACCTTAAACAACAACAGGCTAGGCTACCTGGATGTCGCCGGTCCTGGACTGTGTCACTCACATATACCTGGAGTTGACCCGTACGCACTTCAGAACATGGGTACAAGTCAATACAAGTGTCAGTTGTTTCAGAGTAGATGGCACTGGCACCCCAAGATGTCTTAGACAAATGGGGGTCCTCATAAACCACCAAACTTGGGGTTTGCGTCATCGAGCCTCTGAAACCACTGTATCTGTTTTTTGTCATGTGAATCATGTTCCACTTTCCAAGGTGCACACCAGGCGAACCGGGTCCAGGAGTTCACTTACCTTTCTTTGATTCTTTCAGTTCCCATCTTCCAAAAAACAATCAAACAAAGCTCCCCAGCATTCCCCAGCTTCGCATCTTCGCAATTCGTCAAGGCCTGCTGCAAGAACAGGCGATAGCGCTGGTACGCTGCCAGAGGGATCTCCTCGTGTCCGGAGCTGCGCCCGATCCCGACACACGTGACACGGAGACGGTCCGAGACGAAGCGCTGTGGCATCGAACCGTATAGGTTCCTACGCCACGCGTTGATGGGCGTAGCGGGTTCTGGTATGACAAAGAGGAGGCTAAGCCACTAGCTGCCCAGCCCAAAGACGCGAAGAGAGCATCGAGGTCAGCCAACACCAGCTATCGAATTTCATGCTTGAAAGGCTTTAGAAATACATGGCCTGTGCCCCAAACATGCGGATGTGTTTGAACGAAGAAATCATACCGCCTATGATCCAAGTGGTCTTTGACGTTGAGTTCGAGGCCACATCTATGTGGTGGTGCGAAAAGTATGGAGCTCATGAAGATCGGAGATCTCTTTCTCCAGCCCCACCCTATCACAAATGTCACGAAGATACCACTACCTGAGAACTTTGACTTCGAGTGATAAAGGGGATTACAATTGAATCCACAAATTATTGGGAAGATAAGGGATAGCCCAACTTATTCTATCTACCGGGAGGAAGTAGAAGTGGTATGCTAAATCCCTAGCGGCACGGTCGACGGGAACAAGAACCCTACGATTGGAGGGGCGAGTACCCGTGGTGGACAGTGCCGAATTGCCGGACGAACGAAAGCACGACGGCGAACGAACGAACGGAGATGCGAAGGCAGCGAAAGTGCGCGAAGGGTGCAGGAGCACAAGCAACGAAAAGGGAATACCAACCACAGGTTGGCAGACCCGGCACCCTGAAGAAAAGCAAGCGGGCGCTCACTTTTCTTGAGCCAAGAGCAACGGTTGCAGCATGTGTTTTACATGCCTTAGTGAACCGTAGCTAAATAGATAGACATGTGCAAGTAGTGAATAGCTGTTACATAGTAGGGGTTCACAGAAAATGACTCCCCCCTCCCCGTTTTGGGGCAGCATTCCTTTGTACATGCATGAATTACCGCGCCGGGTGGCAGCGGTTTCGACGACCTACGAAGGCTTCGAACTGCTCGAAAGGCTCCTATCTGTCTTAGATGGGACTAAGCACTTTAAATCTGTACGGATGCCAAGCAAGCATAGCGCTTTGAACCACTTTTGTGGTGGCAACGCTTTGGTGAAAATGTCTGCAGCTTGTTCATTCGTATCGATGTACTTAATTTCGACAGATGGGTCGTCGATGCATTCCTTTAAAGAACTGAGGTTTATCTTATGTGTTCGGCTGATGTGTCGTAGCTTAGGGGAAAAGCCCTTCCTTACTACGAGAATCGTGGCTTGGTTATCCTCCTGTATGACGAGGTTAACGTCCCGTCCAAGAAGTTTATCCCATAGCTGCAACGAAGGTAGTCCTTCTTGATACAACGAATAGGCCAAGCTTACTACTTCCGATTCTGTAGTGGACCTTGACGTGGAGGTCTGTCGCTTAGACACCCATGCTAGTGGATAATGGGTGTTAGGGCCCTTAAGTACTAAGTACCCCCCGGAGGTGGACTTCACGTCGTGTTGGTCGCCACCAAAGTCGGCATCCACGAACAGCTCTAGCCACAGCTCACTAGCATCATCGCCGCAGACGGCGGTTAACCTATATTCTAGTGAGTGCTGAATGTACTGAATGAGCCGTAGCAACTTTTTATCGTGCACACGGGTCCACTTCTGTACCTTGGTGGCTAGATCGTTGATCGGTTTAAGGATGTCAGGTCGTGCTAACCTGGCAAGCCAGAGGGCTTTCATCAGGATAGAGCACGCCTTTGGTGCGAGCTCTCCGGGCGACTCCTCATCAGCCGTGGTGAATGTGCCGTCGGCGAGAAATGGCGTCTGGGCTGACTTTATCTTATCAACACCGGCCACCGACTTGTAGAGTTCGATGGTTTGCTGCGCGTAATCTTTCATGTCGAAGATTAGGGCGTCAGCGCTACCGCGCAAAGCAGCGGTCTCGGTGTTTCCTGAATCTGGGACTACCGCGTAGATGTGGTTCCTTCCTAGCATTCTGTATATAGGCTCGGGTGGTTCAACGTTAACAACATTCGTGAGCTCTGACCAAAACTTTTGGTGGTGTTCCCGTGGGCCTGCCAAAGTGAGGTCGTCAACGTATGTGGATAACATTAAACGAGGACCAGAAAACCAGAAGTTACCAGGGAACTCTGGAATTTCTTCGCCACCCATATTCTTAAGAATGCCCTTCAAATGCTGTTCCCACATCCCTCCTGCGTCGGGATGTCCGTACAGCGCTTTGACGAGAAGGACCACTGGTTGAACAAATTTGTTCTTCCACCATGCGGGTCGAAGTTCAGGTGGTAATTCGATCCAAGTTTTATACTTAGATTTTAGTGTTGCTTGCACATACGCCTTCACCGCATCCGCGGCGGTGCACAGGTTACCAGGTAGTGACCCGTAGGCGAGGCAAGCGTTCAACCCTTGGACCGAAGTCGGGTTTGCGCCCAATTCCTCATAGACGGCTGCTGCGCCATGCTCGTCCTTTGCGCAGTCACCTCGGTAGACAATCCTACCTTTTTCTGCAACTCTTTTGCCAGCTCGTAAAATTTAATGGAGGCTATGGTCATCAGTATACCGAAATGGACGGAGACTCCGGAAGCCTTAGCCTCAGCACGGACGTGCTCCTTCTCCCTAACGGATTCATACTCCCAAGTACCTTCGTTGACCAAATCGGCTGCCTCGTCCTTAACCTTTTGCAAGGCTTCAGGATCACTGAGCATCTCGGTACGGCTTAGGAGCTTGGTGACCAAAGCTGCTACCTGATCTTTACCATCATCGGTCTTTGGGATCTGGTAGGCCTCGTGCATAAGAGCACTGATATCCATTAAGCATTCAACCATTTGCCCGACAGTGTCATCTGTCTCAACTGCGATGGCCATAGCGTCGATCCCCGACAGAGCTGACACATGTTTCAGCGTCTGCTCTTTTTCCCTGTGCTCATGTTCATGGGTACATGAAAAACATGGCATGGCTGG